TCACGGCCACTTCCATTATATACTGTATACCGGGACGCTCTCACGGCCACTTCTATTATAAACTGTATACCGGGAAACTCTCACGGCCACTTCTATTATGTACTGTATACCGGGACACTTTCACGGCCACTTCTATTATATAATGTATACCGGAACACTCTCACGGCCACTTCCATTATATACTATATATCGGGACACTCTCCCGGCCACTTCCATAATATACTGTATACCGGAACACTCTCACGGCCACTTCCATTATATACTGTATACCGGAACACTCTCACGGCCACTTCCATTATGTACTCTATACTGGGACACTCTCACGGCCACTTCCATTATATACTGTATATCGGGACACTTTCCCGGCCAATTCCATTATATACTGTATACCGGGACACTCTAACGGCCACTTCCATTATATACTGTATACCGGAACACTCTCACGGCCACTTCCATTACATACTGTATACCGGGACACTCTCACGGACACTTCCATTATATACTGTATACCGGGACACTTTCACGGCCACTTCCATTATATTCTGTATACCGGGACACTCTCACGGACACTTCCATTATATACTGTATACCGGGACACTCTCACGGCCACTTCTATTATATACGGTATACCGGGACACTTTCACGGCCACTTCCATTATATACTTTATATCGGGACATTTTCACGGCCACTTCCATTACATACTGTATACCGGGACACTCTCACCGCCACTTCCATTACATACTGTATACCGGGTCACTCTCACGGCCACTTGCATTATATACTGTATGCCGGGACCCTCTCCCGGCCACTTCCATAATATACTGTATACCGGGTCACTCTCACGGCCACTTCTATTATCTACTGTATACCGGGAAACTCTCACGGCCACTTGCATTATATACTGTATACCAGGACACTCTTACGGCCACTTCTATTGTATACTGTATACCGGGCCACTCTCACGGCCACTACCATTATATACTGTATTCCGGGACACTTTCACGGACACTTCCATCATATACTGTATACCGAGGCGCTCTCACGGCCACTTCTATTGTATACTGTATACCGAGGCGCTCTCACGGCAACTTCCATTATATACGGTATACCGGTACACTCTCGCGGCATCTTCCATTATATGCTGTACACCGGGACACTCTCACCGCCACTTCCATTATGTACTCTATACTGGGACACTCTCACGACCACTTCCATTATATCCTCTATCCCGGAACACTCTCCCGGCCACTTCTATTAAATACTGTATCCCGGGACGCTCTCCCGGCCACTTCCATAATATACTGTATACCGAGGCGCTCTCACGGCCACTTCGGGTGGGGGCTGTAGACCGGGAGGCTCTCACGGCCACTTGCATTATATACTGTATTCCGGGACACTCTCACGGGCACTTCCATTATATACGGTATACCGGTACACTCTCGCGGCATCTTCCATTATATGCTGTACACCGGGACACTTTCACGGCCACGTCCATTATGTCCTGTATACCGGAACATTCTCACGGCCACTTCCATTACCTACTGTATACCGGGACGCTCTCGCGGCCACTTCCATTACCTACTGTATACCGGGAAACTCTCACGGCCACTTCGGGTGGGGGCTGTAGACCGGGAGGCTCTCACGGCCACTTCCATTCTATACTGTATACCGGGAAACTCTCACGGCCACTTCTATTAAATACTGTATCCCGGGACACTCTTACGGCCACTTCCATTACATACTGTATCCCGGGCCACTCTCCCGGCCACTTCCATAATATACTGTATACCGGGGCACTCTCACGGCCACTACCATTATATACTGTATGCCGGGACCCTCTCACGGACACTTCCCTTGTATACCGGGACACTGTCACGGCCCCTTCCATTATATACTTTATAGCGGGACATTTTCACGGCCTCTTCCATTATGTCCTGTTTACCGGGACACTTTCCCGGCCTCTTCCATTACATACTGTATCCCGGGCCACTCTCCCGGCCACTTCTATTATATACTGTATACCGGGACACTTTCACGGCCACTTCCATTATGTCCTGTATACCGGAACACTTTCACGGCCACTTCCATTATATACTGTATACCGGGACACTCTCCCGGCCACTTCCATTATACACTGTATACCGGGACACTTTCACGGCCACTTCCATTACTGGGACACTCTCACGGCCACTTCCATTATATGCTGTATACCGGGACCCTCTCACGGCCACTTCCATTATATAATCTATACCGGAACACTTTCACGGCCACTTCCATTATGTCCTGTATACCGGAACACTTTCACGGCCACTTCCATTATGTCCTGTATACCGGGACACTCTCACGGCCACTTCCAGTATATACTCTATACCGGAACACTCTCACGGCCACTTCCATTATATACTGTATACCGGGACACTGTAGTCTAGTAAAAGATTCGCCCTTCGCCGAGGAAAGCCATATTTGTGGAGGGCGGAGAAGGCCCAAATTATATGGCGTCGAACTTTTTCCGATTTACAGTGGCACTATCAAATTCTGATAACATTCATATCAGCTATGCATGTCATAGCCAACGTGTTGACGTCATCGCAATTATGGTGCCGGAATTATAACGTGGAAAATCACTGTCCTTCCCTTGAAATGCCTTTTTGTATCCATTAAATTATGAAAACATGTCCCCTTTTTAGTGAGTTAACGACGAAAACAATTTTACGAGATTTGCATAGCATTTCTTTTGCTAGGGGTTCCCCTTGTGGTCACTCAACAATCCAACGAAGGACCGTGTCCGACGATCACTATAGGTCAGTTCGCCTACATTTTGCGATATTTTGTTTAACTTCGAATTATGGTTTTTATGTTCACGTAAGTAATTCGTTACACTGTTATGTTTGTTTGTTTGAGTTGTTTTACATCTGCTTCACAACATGTACCGCAAAGTTCGGTTATCCAGCAGACGCAACTACAAGTCTCCTCCAAACACGGTTTTAATGATAACATGGTTTCATATTACCTACGGACATACCAATAATCATAAGCATAAACGATACTAGCACAGAATTGAAGTGTCAACCCTTCATGCATATATTTGGATATGCAAGCGTGATATTATTACTCTTAAGAAACCAAAAAAATGTGTATTGTGTTCCTACCCTGTAACACTTGCTCGGGATTTCCCACCAGTCTTTATGTCCTTATAGCTGGAGAATAAGATCTTGCTATCTGCAAACCATGTGGTTTTAGTGGTATCTACGCCATCAAAAACAACCCAAGCCTTTTCAACTCCACCTAAGAAATGCGAGTATTTCACCTAAAAACAAAAGGAAATACATAATTAAATATATATGTTTCATTTCAGGATTTGAGAGTTAAATATAAGCAAATAAATTAAAGAACAAAATCAGTACCGTTCACTGTATTTCTTTGAAATAGCAAGTAAACGAATATATCATACTGAAATGGTCATTATTTTCTAACATGTGCCTCCTTGGAATGACAGAATGTCAGACAACAAACAGTAAAATATACGTGTACTGCGTCTATTTGAGGCTATATGTAAGTCATTTATTATATGAAACAGAAAAACAAAGCGTCGGATGTTATATAAGGGAAAACAAGAAGTTTTCTTATAATCCACTCTTAATAGAAAGCATTAAGTTTAACCCAACAGTTTAATACAATAGCATGTGCTAAAGACACTTGTTTTCACAAGCTCATGGAAATCGTCAACGGCAGATACATTATCACAACCATGTTTTTAAAATTGTAACATTCTTACACAAGCAAACTGTTTGTGACTATCATATTTTCAATTAGGGGATAACCCTACTGTATTTTGACATTTGAGGAAGGTATATCGTGGTTATACTTTCGCAAGTTATTTTGCTTGTCCAATCAAATGTCTTACATCTCAAATGAATGAGAATGTTATATTACCATGTCGATAAATGTAAAGGTGTCCGACCAGGTGTCGACAACACCGGATTTGAAGGCTTTACTAGGCGAGTTCGTGAGGGACTGTACGGTGGTATCGTACTCATTTTCTGTGATTGAGGTCGTCCATAAGTTAACTAAGTTGGTATACGTCGTCGGCGCCAGACCTTGAATGGCCTTGAATACCATATGCCACTCTATAGAACGACAAATATAGATGTTAAATGAGTATGATATCTCTGTCAATAATTGATACACATAATTATGCTATATTTCATTTTTAGACATTCTTTCTTGTTATTGATAACTTACTTAAGTTCCTGATTGAATGAAGTGCCTTGATTTTAACTTTCCTCGTTGGAATGTTTGGAATAAGTGTAATGCACAGGCGAAACCGAAGTTTGCTTATTGATTTATTGTCCCTAATGTATTTTATAAATGTTTTGCAATACCGATTCAAATGTAAAGAAAAATGTAAATTTGCTTTATCTTAACGGTTGCTTGATTAAATGATGAGTTCGCCTGATTCCAAATTATAACAGTACTATATAGTCTGCATTGTGATTCAAATTACTAACATACCAACGTGACGTCTTTACTTATATGCGATAGCACAATCATTACCACATTTATGTAGATATTGGCAAATCTTTATTTTAGATTATAGTTCAAATAGGTAATTATATAAAATATACGCATGTATAAGGAAAATTTAAGATATTGCCCAAACTTACCGACAATAAAAAGTGCAAAAGAATCAGCTTCCACTTTGTCCGCTGTAGAACCAAAAAAGTCATTTATTTTAGTTTGCGTTAAATATGTTATAGCATTTGAATCAGATGTCTATTTGTAGATCGCTCCTTTATTAATATATTGACGATTTTATTTACATGTGTAATGCATCATATGTTAAGGCAGGGCATCAATAGAATAGAATAAGGTAAACTTATGTAATATAGTGCATGCTTGTTTGACCAATCTAACAACCATCTTCAAGGGAGGGTCAATGTTATTAAACGTTTTAATTATAGCGGCATAATTATGAAAATGTAAATTTATTGGTCAGTACATTCGAAGCGGACCTGAATGCAATATGAATTTAAACTTTATATACTGGAAGTAGTTCCGTGCAGAAAATGTGTACTCGACATGAACACATTGATACTCTGACAAGAATACTCATACATATGACCATTTGGCAAATTTCCAAGTTATAATTACAATTGTGTGTTTTTATATCTTTACCTGTATTTCAGAACACATTCTTAATGGTAATATTTGCTAGTACCAAACACATATCCATACCTGTTGACCACTGGACCCGTGTGCCGAGACCCGAGAAGTAGATGTATGGTCTGGTGATACTGGTCGAGTCCCACTCGGAACACCCTGTGCTTGCTCCGTAGTCCTTCATCATGATCCAACCTGTCTCGTTAGTACACCCGGAATAGTCACTACTGATGTAGAATGTTCTTTTCCCCGTGCCTCCATCACTATACAAAATGAATAAAATAATTGATGTTAACTAAAAAAGTTCTTACCAAAACCTATATAACAAAAATGAAATGTATTCATACCAAGAAGTGATTTTGTGCTGCGAGTCAGGTATAAAAGTAACTTGTTTTTCGTATCTTGAATAATCCTTCCGTTATTAGACATTGGTAATTGTTTACTAAAGTGTATTATTTAAATTGATAAAAATGTTGCAACTGACCGCGTCTGGAACATTATGATACTAAATGACTGAATAACTAGGGTGTGAAATGGGAGTGTACACTTGCTGAAATACATGTATTGATAAAGGTCGGCTTCAGTTATTTCTTTAATAAGTTAAAGTACTCTAAAAATTGATACTGTCATTGAAAAAATGTTCTTACTTTAATGTACATGTTGTGTTGCCATCGACGATGTCATGATAGCTTGAGTCAATAATCTTACTGCAGTCAAACCAGTTAGACTTTGTTGTCTGTGATGTATCAAACACAATGTAGGCTTTTTCAGATCCATCCTTGAAAACTGACAGTCGCATCTGTTAAAAAGAAAAACAACAGGGGTTTACTTATATCTAATGTTTGTTATAATACTACACATTTTCAGCATTAAAAAATATTAATAAATGAAACTGAAGATAATTTTCTTAAATGCTGCAAATTATCGTTTGAAATGCATCATTATTAACTTAGGGAAAACGCTAAATACATAAAAGCCTAATGTAGTCCTACTTTATTGAGCTAATCGTCGCCTATATATCACGGTTGTGAATTCAGATACCTCGCACTGTTTTCCCACAATACTTGTTATTTAGTTTTGTAAGCGTATTGGAAGTTATTTAGTTTTTTACGTAAAAATATGAATATAGATCCTATAAAAATAAGACGAATTTGATATTGAATATCGATTTGTAAAAGTAGTTAATCTAGAAATGCCTTACTTACGGAATTAACGGTGAGATTGTCTCCCCACTGGTCCAGCAGTGCGGATTTATAGATACTGCCAGAGGCGCTAAAGTCAGTCTTAGCCGATGTATCATCTTCATTGTAAGAGCCGCTGGCGCTATACAAAGCGTTCACGTCAGCATATCCCGCTGGTACAGAAGCGCCTTTTGGAACTTTGAACACCAGTCGCCACGCTACAAGAATGGGAATATCAAAATATACTGGTATAATTTGAGCTGTGACTTTAGAAACTATATATTTACCAAAATTCGATAATTTTAATTTATATTTCTTTACAAAAATTAGCAAAGGATTCTGTTTAAGGACTCATGCCAATGACCATAATTATCTATACAGCTATTGCAATATCCACCATCAGATTCACGTGGCAGCTTCGATTTGGTATGCAGCGGTACCTCTTGAAAGAGACACAGTTTGGGCAATTGAGAAAATGGCTTCACGATCATGTGGTAGCAAGTAGCGCGTGTTATCAACATAAAACATCATAAAACACTGTGAGGAAATACATTCACGTATGGGATATGTAACTAGTGATGTTGTTTGTATGAAATGTATTTTATTGTAACGTATATAGTGTACTACTTACGGCCTCGCCAATCCTCCAACTGTTGATGTTCTGTAAGATAAAGATGGTTGATACATTAGACATAAAAAGTAGGAACACTCAACAAAATCCCAGATATCAGTGAAAATATAACGTGCAACTAATTTGCTTAGTGTGTATATATTTCAAAACATGAAGTACAATGCTGTCAGTGAACGTTAACAAGTATAAGCAAACGCCACGACTTTAACAAATTGAATATTCCAACGCCCACAGTACATTATTTACTACAAAATATGCATTGGGGTGTTTTTCACAGTCATAGTTATGTTTGAAATATATATTTTAATCGAAGAAATAATTACTGTTTCTTAATATTTCTATTCTGTCTCATCCAGAACAATTTTTTGATAAGTGTTTTTATCAATAACTTGAAATTTACGGTATTTTTTCAGAAAAGTTTCTATGTAAATATTCATATATCAAAAACGTACTTGCGCAATACATTGTTGCAGACCCATAATTTGAAACACCGTGTCCTGAACATGGGTCAGAACCAAACGTAGTGTTACTAAATGTCAGCACACAGGAGTCCGTTTGTTGATGGCAAGCTGTTTGAGCGTCCGCTAATGCTGTGGCGTCAGAACATGTAGCGCCATTGCCAAAGAACGCCGCATACACATGTATATAAAAGTCAGCAGGACAAACCATGGTATAGGCAGTGTTCTCTGGTACGTCGCCAGTGTTGTATTCTGTAACAAACAGGTAACAATAAAACGATATCAACATTTAGACTTCAACATACATGTACCATTCGGTTACACTCAAAATGCGTTTCTGTTAAATGGTAAGCGTTGAATCACCCTCAGGGATTCAATGTTAATAATTGATTGAAAAGAGTTGAACAACTTATACAAATAGTTTTCAAAATTGATAATCGTATTGGAGAATAGCTGAGACCTTACATTACAAAAACGTTCTGATTTCAAAAAGGGTGAACTATGCTCTGTGATGTCATACGTATTTTCCTTGCTGCAAATCATCATGCTAGACAACATTTTTAGCGTCTGCAGCTGACTATGGTTAACTTAGAACAAAAACATTACAGGCGAGGTTTTGATTCAGTAATGTTTAGTTTTATAGTTTATGCAACTACAAGAACACGTACAATGACTCCAGGCGTAACCCTACGTGTGCGGATATAAAACAATGGTATCATATTATAAAGAATATTTTAAACAAATGTTTTAATGGTATCACATTCTACCAGTTGAGGATGTTATGCTTGTTGATTGACACGTACCATCACAGATGTCTAGATGAGTCGGAATGCATAATTCGAGCTCATCAGCTGGACCCATGCCAGTGCAGTCCAGCCCAATACCGAGTGGTGTCGGGGTTGTACATGTCCGATTTCTTGTATGTACTCCCTGAGCGTAGCACGTGGTACTGCAGTCCGTCCAGTCCGACCAAGCAGTGTAGTTGCCATTTACTGAATTGAATCCATTGCAAACAAATGTAGTATAATACCGAATAATTCTAATGATAGTAAGCTATGTTAACTAGTAATCTGTTTTACGATAAATACCCAAATACCATATACTACGACTATTACCGTATAAACAATACGAATTTAAATATACAACATTTGATATATAGCCCTATCTAGCTAACATAAGCCACTATAAAGCGCTTTACAGTACATAGATATACAATTGTATACAGTCGATACAATTAGCATATATAGTAATCAATACAAAATTGAGGAATTCACAGGAGCTGCCTTATCAGGCGCTAACTATTAGTCCTATGCCGCCTGACTAATATCTCCCTATGTGTGTATGCCTTTGTGTGTGCTGGAGATGTACTTTTTCTGAATATTCCATGCGTACGGCGACATCGGGGATCAAACCCCGGCCGCCTGCTTGGAAGGCCGGAGTGTTAACCACTCGACCAATCCGCCCATTTATCAGAGGTAAAAGGAAATTAAAGTATGTACAAACTCAATAAGAACCAACATTATCCAGGATTAGTATATCGTGTTTACTATTTTTTACATATTTAAGAAATATTGCCGCTAATCTCTGTCATAATTTAATGTTTTACAAAGAGAAATCAGGTCCTACAGTTTTGTATATTATTGCAAATAAATAAAATAATGATATCATCATAGCAAAATCTTAATGTTTTATGGGAACGATGGCAAGTGTAAAATTGAAATGTCGAAGAACAAAATGTAATTTGTATGTTTCACAATAGACAGAACGCATTTGCATACTTAACACCAACTGTACATCAATAAGGCGCGTGACTTACTGTTCTGACAGAGATGACCATAGTGGTCGCCATCACAGGAACATGAGTAACGTCCACCCCAGTCCAAGCACGTGGCACCATTTTCACACGTCACTATGTCACAAATGTTGTCCATTGCTGAAGACAAAAAATAATGTCGAGAAACCGTTGCATGTATTGTTCAAGATTTAAAGATAAACAAGTGCATTTTGTTAAGGTGTATTTTGCCCTGATATTAACTATGGAGAGAGATACTCTCTCGCATGTTGTTGAATTAATATTCTTTAACTACATCTGAATTATTTATGTGTTTTATGAAGCTTTACACATAAAATAGCTGTCGAACAGCAATACAACTTACACTTTTGCATTCTCATATGAAATACCTTCTAAATGTTAAGGGGTCAAGAACATTCAAATGTAACTATACCAATCTAGAACCGGTGCACACGACTAATTTACTAATACAAAATGTCTTTCAGAAAATTTGAACACGTTTTGAAGAGCTATTTATCATATATCACATATATAAATATTTTTAATACAAAAACAAGCATATACTTACATATAGATATTGCAAATACGTCCGCTACAGCAAATCCTAAAAAAACACCCAGAAAGAAATAACATATAAGCGCTGCATTCGTTACCTAGTGGTCGAGAAAACAATGGCAACAAGGATACAATGATTTTGTTTTGGAAATACCACATTTATATATATATTTATAAATCACGCTAATCGAAGTCATATCCAGCAATAAAACAAATTGTAATCCAGAAAATTAAATATTGATTTGACTTTGCAATAGTAAAATGGTCCGATTTATTTCCTGATCAATTCGTTATGCTCTTTACAATACAATTTTAATACAGAAGCCGACGCTATATCATTATATGGGCTATACCGATATAGCTCTTCAGGACATGCATTCAAAATGTTATCATTAAGGAATATCTAACAATAACCCATTATGGCGTGTTTTTTTAATCCTTTTTATTTACTCAAGCATTTGTTTAGATTTAAACAGTAATTATTTCTCGTTGAGGTAATAAACCCTTTCTTGTTGCTAATTAAGATACTTTGAATTGTGTGTAGTGCTGCATACACTCCGACTACCCAACAAACACTCGCTTTTGAAACACTGATGTATAGAGGGCGATACCTGTATTCAGCTCGACGGTTGTTGTGTCGCTGTACACCACATGGGGGTAAGTTGAGTCCTTGGACTCCCACGTACAACTCCCGGCGTTGCTGTCAATTACAGTGAACCAGCCACTTTGTGTAGAACACGATCCCTTCCCGTAATTCGATAATAGCGAGAAGTAGGTCGTGGCGGAGGCGTCTCTATAACAAACAAGAACAATGCGTGTTATCATATCGATCAGTTACGGAACTTCGATGAGGTTAAAATGTGAGTAAATAGCCATGGGGAAGTTCCATATAGCAAATAATTCATTGTCGTCAAAGTCATTAATGTTCAATCAAATATCAAGCGATGCTGTATTTAATCATTTAACTAGATGGAAGAATGAAAATCAAGAGAAACGTACTGCATTTGGCATTGTGACGTAACATCGACCTGGTGTTTGTAAATATTTACATCGTTACTTTTGGTATACCACCGACCTGTACATGCTTTTGATTCAACCAATGAGGTTGTAGGGAAAGCAAATGCGATGAAACTTTAAGATATGCTGAATTAGGTGTTTTACAAAGAAACAAAATTCGCATGATATGTATCTCAAAAATGTATATCGTGTTCAAAAGTATGAATAAGGAAATTATTGTTTTCTCCTCTATCGCTGATAATATCTCACAAACAAGTCCGTGTCAGTAATGAATTGTTTTGACACATACCCGATCATAGTACATCTGTCCTTGGTACCTTCACGGTTCAGATCCGTCCAAGAGGAATACAAAATCCTGTCACAAGACAACCAGGAGGTTTTTGATGAGCCATGGGCATCAAAAACCACATAAGCCCTTTCTATCCCAGAGGTAATGAAGGAAAGCCTTACCTACAATTACCAAAATAAGCACATGAAATATATTCAAATTTACAAAAACACGGAGTATATGGACTTTTTTTTTTTACATTTAACTGCATAATTGATAAAAACAAGAGGTTATCTATTCAGTATCCACATGAAAGTATCAAAGCATGTGGTAATGCATTCGTACCAACAGGAAACATCTTATCTGGATGTTGATGTCATTATATCATAAATTACAATATTCTGTTGGCACGATTAACTTACAGGTATCTGTTCTGACTGGATAACAAAGGTCATTTTGCATTATGCTGACTACACAAGGTTGAGAGTAGGCATCTTTATTACATGTGTAATGAGCTGATATATGTGCAACTAAGTATGCCAATTTGAAGCCAATCTTGCGTTTACATATAAACCTTTGCAAGTCATTTATTTGAATCAATTTAACACTTCATAGTTATGCTTACTGCTCTGATGTAGTAGCTGGCCCAGGAATCCGGGATTCTTGACTTATAAGTCATTGTATTGGCGGCGAAGGAGAAGGCGTTTAGGCTGTCGTTGTATTCGTTCACGGTGTATGTGTTTGTCCACAGATCGTATATACCGGAAGCTGGAGATACTCCAAAGTCCTTAGAAACCTTCATAACAGGGAACCAACCTTTCGAAAAACATTAAAATATAGATTTTACAAAATGGAACAAAAGAACAATATCTAATAAGAATACAACTAAAATTATTTGTACCAAATTTACAGAATAACAAAAACAAATTCTGATAACAGTATTTAAAGTATATGCATACCATAGCGCAATAAAAACAGGAGAATACCGACGTGTCAACAAAACCATATTTCAAACTCAAAATGTAATAAGAGCGAAGCTCCGTGGCGCCGAAGGCGCCCGAGCGAAGCTCTTTAATGGTAACACATGCGTGCGTAAACAGAGTTGCTTCCCCTTACTACACATTGCCTTTATTTTTTTGTCCGGAAGTAGACGTCCAGTGGGGAGATAGGAAGTATATCCATGAAGCAAAGATAATTGTGTTTCAACCCATACTTGAATACCATTATATAGTGAAAACAATCTTCATGTCTGCGGCCGCAGAGAACCTGCTATAAATCGAGATGTGAAGGGATATATACTCTCTTATATAAGTATATGCATTTAATAAAGCGATTTGCCGATTTGCCGATTTGCCGATTTTAACCTCATTTGCAACATTTATAGCAACTACAAGTGTACGCAGGGTTAACATGTAGGCGAATCAGCGGCGATTTTATTATTTCCAACTCGTACGTATTTTTAAACCTCAGTGTGTGTACGTTTTTCCGGTCGTTTGTCTGATGAATGAGTTCATATCGTTCAATTAATCTAAACGTCAGATATATATAAAAAAAACAACAACAGGTTTTGCCAAATGAACTTGTATATAACGGTAGCAGGACATAATGTAATATGAAAGACAATGAGCTGAAGCACAGTAACAATTTCACATAATAAGAATAGTTATAACACTTACCGTGGATAAAAATACCCATCACATCAGCTTGAGGGAAAGCAGCACTGTCATATGAAGATCCTATTGTGATAAATGACAATATTTACTTGTTAAAACTGACAATCAAACACATTTTGAATTGAAATACATATATTTCATTAAATAAATCATGTGGGTTTACTTTATAAAACCCCAATAAAATGTACCTGCTGAAACTGTTTTTCGAGCGATAAACATTTTTCTTTTGTGTGTGGTATTGACAATAGTGCAAATGGCCGAAATTGCCTTTATCATATTAGTCCCGATTGGGTTTTTTTTCAGTTTAATATCAGTTGCTACCATTACGCATGCATTTAGTTTTAAATGGACATTATTCTTGGTTCACTCATCAAAATAATCCATACATGACTTATGACCATCTGTACCTGACTGTGGTGAGCCTTGGACATCCGTGCTACTATAGATGAAGTACGGCTTGGTTGTTGCGCTGTCAAAAGCGCAGTTGGTTGAACTACTGAAGTCAGATACCATCATCCACGCCATGAGACCGTCACAGTTAGGATACGTATCAATGACAGCAAACGAGCGTATCCCGTCCCTGGCAATAAAAATGACACATGGAAGGAATAACGGATCGAATTATAATACAAAATGACATATACTATGGTCTTGCATAAGTACGTGATCACACGACCATTGTGGTAGTCATTTTTCACATGAACATTTGATGTGTGTTTGCATATTACCTCACGATTTTTTTTTTCGAAAACTGTATATAATAGTGCACTAGATATCATATATTCACCAAGAAATGAAGCAAGACAAAATATGTGTCAATATAAAAAGTCGACTTCACGTAAATACTTTCCTGAACTTGTTTTTGATAAAGAATGCCCGCTACCAGTGTCAACAGAATGTATGAAATATATGGCAGCTTGACTTGAATAAAAATGGTATATTTACCCGGTTACACTGACGGTTGTTTTACCAGCGGTCCCGATATCAGTATAGCTAGAAAACAGGATTTTGCTCTCTTGGAACCAAGTCGTCTTCGAGGTGCCAACGCCGTCGAATACAATCCATGCCTTTTCTACTCCGCCAGTAAAGTATGCATATTTCACCTGTTAAATACAAGGTTGTTATAAACATTAAGCTTAATACAAGTTACATCGCTTCCGTGTCGTTATGACAACTTCCATTGGACAACACCCGTTGTAGACCTGAAAGCTACATTTTTGTTGAATTTTTAAAAACTGAGATTTGGGATATTCATTTAGGTTCCGTATCACAGTGCAGACATGTTTTTGGTAACTAGGTCTAGTTAGTAACCTCATACAATCACATTTGTGGCAAAATACATTTCTTTTAGGGTGGTCACACATGATTGAAAGTGCAATGAACAACGGCCAAATTATTATCGAGCATGCGTATTACAATAAGCAGCCGTGTTCTCTTTGTTAAAACTTCAGTTAGCTGATAGGTTTGTAAATCGACTAAATAGAATCGATACATATTTTAAGGGGTTTATAGTAGACTATATCACAAATATCAGCACACATCTTTAAGTTCATTGCTCTTGCATAATTAAATCTGTTTCCGGATATGATGAGTTAGAATTTAACTTCATGATTGTCGAAACATGTTAAAATATAATGATGGTTCTATTTGTTTTTCTTCCCCTGATTAACAAATGAAGTGAAGGAATAGACTATTAACCACGTAAAGCGTATCTTAAATGCATACCATATCGATGAAGGTGAAGTCGTCTGACCATGCTTCTACGGCACTGGATTTGTATCCACTTGCTGGAGTGTTGGTGATAGAGGTAGCAGATTCAAGTCCATCATTTAATAACGTAGTCCCACCCCACAATGTCTCCAGGCTACCTGGGCTGGTATCACCAGCAACTGCCTTGAATACCATGTGCCAATCTTTAAAAATAGAAAGCAACATGCCTAGTGAATTTAATTTTAAATGTAATATTTTGCACTTAAAACAATGATTCGATGGTACGTGGTCAGTATGTAAATTTGAAAATATTTTCAAACATAATTTACAGAGTGAATAAAACTATCAAATCCATATTTCATGCAATGCTCGATTAATATGATTCAATGAAACTTAACATGTCATATGACACTTACCCATAACAAATATAGCCAGACAGTCCCCTGTTGCTTTGCTGGCTAAAATCAGAAATAGAACAACAGTATTACATACTTGCATGCTGGCATACATGTGTACATACCAATTAAAGAAAGAAAATTCAATATATGTAGTATGAAACAATTTCATTCACATTTACAAATACAGAAGTTGTAATTATTTTATACGAATGCTTCTATAATTCTTAGTATACGTTTGCATAGATAATACGTAATAATCGGATAGAATTGAAGCTGACCAGATGACCATACAGTGCGCAGCCCGAGAGTGGAGTACAGCATGTATGGCATGGCAGTACTGGTAGCGTCTGATAACGAACAACCGCTTGAGGCTCCGTAGTCTTTAAACATGAACCACCCCGTTTCATCAGAACATCCAGCATAGTCGCTACTGATGTGAAATATCCTTTTGTAAGTGTCGCCAGAGCTGCACACAGACAATTATGATGTTGATATATACATAGTGTTGTTTGTTACTAATTAATGAAAAGAAAAATGTTCAACTATGTACTGCCACATTTTTTCATGATAAGTTCTGGCAATACAAAGGGATATGGCGATACATATAAAAATATATAATGGAATTCTGAGGAAAAAGAGAAACAAGGATATTAATATATGTTTGCGGTAGGAGGATCAAAACATTACACAGAATTTTATCCGTCTCGATATCATTCCAACTGAATTCATTTTGTTGATGCTAGCCGAAAACCTTGGAAGCCTCCATTTTATATTTTGGAGTAACGGCACCTTCCATGATACTTAAACTGTATATATTACTCATTTGAAAGAAACCGGTGTTATTCTTAACCTTGAAGTCCATATACTGATGAGGTGTTACGCAACTCCCCTTCTACTTCAGCAGTAGCCAATTTCTGTTCGGATGTCCACATTGAAGCATTTTAATACACATAGTGTTATACTTCACTGTTTAATTTCATTTGAGTTTATCTATATTAATATGTATAAAAAAAAATCTCAAATTGTCACTGTAATGTCATTCCAGCTACAATCAAATGGCATACTTACTTTAATGTGCAGGTCTTATTTCCAGTTTCAATATCATTCCAGCTGGAGTCAATTATCTTAGTACAATCAAACCAGTCGTCCTTCCCTTTTCCAGTTGCATCAAAAATCACATGGGCCGATTCTGTTCCGCCTGTGTAAATGGCTACTTTTACCTTAAAACACATGAAAAGCCATGATAAATAGTATTTGCGAGGACACTTCCGATGAGTAGGTAGTTCATTCGATCAGGGCTGTAGTACAGCTGCATTTTACATAATGATATTTTTGTTATAAAATCGTTCTCATATTTAATAAAAGTCCCAAAAGACATGTTTTTCCAGACTTGATTTATAAAAGCTACACTGATGTTGGAAACAAAATTCTATGTGATGTGACATTTTTTTGGCAGTGGTAAAAAGATCCTTATTAAACATAATTATTTTTGTATTCAATATTCATTCATAATGGAAAAGGGGAGGTAAGGCAGACACCGTCATACAATCTTATGTGGTTTTAGATATGCCCGCTAATTTGGGTCGATACACTTATATACATATATGTATACGTCTGTAAAACAAGAAATGATTTTTGAAAATATTACAAATTATTTCCATATTAATTCAAATATCCGATTCTGGATATCGAAAGTTTTTTCTTGCATAATGATTAACAAATGCTGTAATAGGAAATTTGATCAAGAACTAACGTTTTAACTTTGTTATCAATCCAACAAAACTTACCATGCATGCGAATGGTTCAACATCAACTTATACACATGATAAATCATTTGGTTGATAGCCAGATGCTCATTGGGAAGCTTTTTTTTCACATACTGTTGTTTAAGTTTTATGATATTTAATTCAGCATTAGTTCAGAATATATTTTTGGTAGAGAAGGCTTAACTACTCATCCGAAACTGATATAACCTAGACGACCTCTAGATGATGGAAAATGTTATCAGTTTCTATATACATTAAATGGTGAACTCTAGGTATGTAGCAAGACATTTATCTGTGTTCAATATTGTGTATATAGTATGTTATATAGCCATATTTCGTTCGATTTCATACTTTTAAATTGTATGTCACAGCCGACTTCTTGCTATGCAATGACATGTTTGTCTGCGTGAGAGATTATTTCGAAAATTTGAAAGTATTGCAATACTTACAGTAGTCACCGTCAAATTTGAACCCCACTGGTCTAATTTAGCCGACTTGTAGAGAGAACCTGATGCAGAGAAATCTGTCATGGCAGCCGTTACATCCTCGTTATAAGGACCACTGGCAGTATATAGCGACATGATATCAGCATGACCAGAGGGCGGGGCTGTGCCTCGTGGAGCTTTGAATACGAGACTCCAGGCTGTTAATTATATATTTAAAAAAAACACTGAATCAGTAATAGTGTGTGGCACGCCTGTACTATAACTCGCATAAATGAGTGAGCGAAAACATTGTCAGTAATAAGAATATGAAAAAGATATCTATCCACATTGTTTTCGAAAGTAATCTACGATAGCATTAAAAAGGTATTATATTCACATGTTGCTGCGTTAAATATTCAATAAACGTTATATACATACGCCCTCTAGCCTCGTCTAACGGCCGGCTTTCTGAAAAAAAGAACAGTGGTGTTGACAAAAATACGAAGACTGTCTTAATACATACTTATCTTCGTTTATATTAATTTAATGTAATATGTTTTTGCCATTTTAAAAATAGAAAATTGAAATATGAATAACAAATAATTATGAGTAATGCACGCTCTCTTTCTCGTGACATATGGCGTATAGTCACTGGACATCCATTAATGAAATAACATGGTGACAATGTACAATAGCAAGTGTCCTTTGAAACGTTAAAAAAGAGACATGACCTTCAACTTCTTATTCCGACCTTGGCTTACGTTAATATTTTTAAATCAGAATAATATTAATAATATCAGCATTAGTTTATCATGAATAAGATAAATAAAAGACTTACTTGCACAGAAGTAAGTGATGTATCCACTTTTTGCTAATGAAGGGTAAGAAGAACATGGATCGCCCCCAAACGTGGCATCGTTGAATATTACGTTACAGCTTGTTGTGCTGCCATGACAGGCCGTACGCATGATACTGACTGGATCAGAAGTAAGACATGGCTGCCCAACGTTGCCATAGGAAGCATCGTATATATGGATATAGAACAGAGAGTGAGTTGGGCAGACCATGGTGTAATTGTCACCCTCAGCTATATCGCCTGTGGAATATTCTGAAATAAAATCATTGTAATCATCAACTTACTGCCTTTATACATCATTGATGTTAATGTCAAGCAGGTAACGTGACTTAAAATTACCAATTTGTAATTCTTATTTTCAAAGGCGGGGAATTTAAAACCAGAAAAAAACAATGTCGATACACCTACATAAAAAACACATTACAAATACCTTTAACTTTATATAAAAAAAAACATAAAAAATGTTTATAGATATAAGCGAACTTTTGTGTGATTTTATCTTTTAAAATGTATCGATGCCCATTATATATATATTGTAAACAAACTTAAATTAGCAAACTCACATTAAGTGCATTGAGTTTTAAAATATTAGCCTTTTGTAAACCAGTGCATTCACAATAAATGCCAAAAAAAAATATGTTAATAGGCAAATAGAAAAACATTATTTATTAAACAGAACATTCAAATAGCTTAATCTTAATTTCAAACAATATCTTAAGCGCAAAAAAAAAAGATATCCGTTGAAATATGCAAGTTTACAGTATTGATAGTTACGTGAACAGATATCTAAGTTGTCTGGGATACAAAATTCTGTCTGATTGCTGTATCCTATGCAGTAGACGCCATCTCCAGCTGTTGTTGGGTTGGTACAATTTCTTTCGCGTGTCTGCGTTCCATGGGCGTAGCAAGTGGTGCTACAGTCTGTCCATGCCGACCAACTTGTCCATCCTCCATTCACTGAAAACGTAATCAATACATAAGAAACATACATGTAATTGCATCTATAAAATATGGTAATAGATACAGCATGCAAAAGATGTTGAACTTAGGAATCTCCAGCGTCTTTTAAGGCTTTATCAGTGATTCTAGGGTCCACAATGTGGACATCCGAACAGAAATTGGCTACTGCTGAAGTAGAAGGGGAGTTGCGTAACACCTCATCATTATATGAACTTCAAGGTTAAGAATAACACCGGGTTCTTTCAAATGAGTATTATATACAGTTTAAGTATAATGGAAGGTGCCGTTACTCCAAAATATAAAATGGAGGCTTCCAAGGTTTTCGGCTAGCATCAACTCCAAATTTCAATAACTCAAACATAAACGTACTACCGACAACGCTTACAGTTCTGACACGCTCCACCGTAGTAATCGCCGGCGCAAACACATTCAAATCGTGCTCCCCAGTCATAACACGTGCCGCCGTTCAAGCACGTGACCAGACCGCACATGTTGTCCCGGGCTGCATTAATCAAACAAATAATAGTTAAGCTAGTATGTTCAGTATGTATAACCATGTTTTCAATTATCATTACTGGAACCCTTATCGACGAATTATCAATTCAAAATATTATTATGCTATAAATGTTCTGTATTGAATGCAGAAGTATGCTTAATTATTCCCTCAATTATATCATTATCATAGGATATCATTTACATTTGTTATATTTATTCTAAACATGTAAATTACAGGTTTTATTGTAAATGAAACAAATCAACACCAATTTACTGATTATGACTTACCGATTGAAATCGAAAATACTTCAGGAACGACCATATCTACGAAAACGAAAATGCAGACATTAAACTGATTGCTAATTTCAGGTTGTAAAAACAGTTCCTTTCGCATGTTTCACACAAGACGATTGATTTGCGGACATTTCACATTGTGGAAAAATCACCACATACCTTGTCCATATGCAAATGATTTTAAATACATTTGTGGTTTTTGAAGTAAAACCAATTTTCATGATGTTTAGGCTCCATAAAAGGGGTTTGAGGAAGGGAGATCACTCCGTGGCTCTGTCGTCGATATATGGTTTACGTCACGGTAGGGAGGTAGGGATATTTGAGTCTTTTGTTTTTGGTCTACAAAGATGGGTGTAGGTATTGTATATGCATACTGAAGTTACATACTAAAGTTATGTTAAATATTATTGAAATGAAAATTTACGATTATCACTTATTCGATTCAAGCCTTTTGATACATACCATCGTTTGCTTCAGAAAATCCTGCATCGCTATATAAGGGAAATGGAGTCGTTCCTTTTGAATCGTAGGAGCAGGTACTGCCCTCTATGATTCCAAACCATCCGAAGTTACCGTCACAGCCTGAGCCATATGTCTCCTCTATGAAAAAGTGCCGGTTATTGTTTCTGGAAAGAAATATGTTATAATGTTCTACATATATTCATAACTAAACTTGGGGTAGTGTTAATTGCTCTGTCAAAAGGTTATATGATGCTATAGCCAATGGAAATTACGACTGCTAAAAATAATGTACTTAAGCGATTGTCATGTCAGTTAAGAATCAAATGCATAGTGAAAGTTTCTGGCAGTTGAATAGGAATCCTTGAATTTAGATTTGCGTATTTAACAACCGAATGCAATTGAGTATAATTGAAGGATTCTGTTTTACTATTGATACAAAACATACTATGATGTCACTCCAATACAATTAAAAGTTGTACAACCTTACCCGGCTACAGAGCAGTGCAGTACCGTCGTGTCTCTGGTCAGGTCTGCGTAAGATGTATATAAAATTCTGTCACAATTAAACCATGATGTTTTCGTAGATGAGTGCGCATCAAACACTACGTATGCTTTCTCTTCGCCTCCTACGGAAAATGCAACTCGAACCTGCAATCGAAGAAAACACACAAGTGGTCAATATAAACTTCCTTTAACAACGCAATACAAAAAGGAGTATAGTAAAACCATCATATAATGTCCCGGTTTTCATCTAGCACCTCGTATATCACAGATATTTCAATGTCTCCTTTTTTCGGATTTATAAGAAATCATTTATACCTTCCCCTCAATTTATCACCAAACCCCTTTGCAACTCTGAACATTGGAAAATATAATTTAAGCTAGTAATGATGAATGATGATGCAATCTAGATAAAACAAATAATTTCCTACTTATAAAGCAAGATAGGTCAACACATTCAGCTGTAAAATGTGAAAAAGAAAAGAAAACGTTTACACCTACATACTGTGTATACGTGTAAAGAAAATACAAAGATGGGCTTTTTAGTGACATATAAGTTGTGTCCAAACTTGTTTGCCTCTTGCAATGGAATAAAAAAAAAAATAATAATAATGAAGCCAAAAAATAATAAACAAAAGTCCAGACTAATTTACTACACGTTTGATACAAATTTAAAAGGGGGCTTACCGCCTGTTTGTAAATAGACGCCCAGCTATCAACGATACTTGATTTGTAGGATAACGTCCCTGTAGACATGGAATATGCGGCAAAGTCGTATTCATTCAGCGTGTAGGTACCCGTCCAAAGATTGTATATACCAGTAGCCGGACTCACACTTTCTCCGTAAGCAACTTTCATCACAGGGAACCAACCTGTGTCAAAACAAACCATTGAAAATACAAACTTGTCCTTTCAGTTTTATAGGTTTTCCTATTCCGTCTTAGCGTATTGCAGAGTTATCTTCTCTTGTGAGCAGGTATTGGTTGTTACGTCATTTGTTTGTGAGAGTAACGCATCAATTTTTGAGAAAACGACGTAATTTTCTCACACAATCAAATGACGTAACAATCAATACCTGCTCACAAGAGAAGATAACTCTGCAATATGCAAAGACGGAATATAAGCCTTACGGAATATGAACTTTTAAAAACTGTACTTTTATAGTTTCTTTATAGTTTAAGATAGATAATTGTATTGTAGCAAATGTACAAAAGGAATAGGCACAGACAAAACAAACTGAATCCCGTTTTATAACTATTCGATCATACTACTAAATAGTAAGAGGCACGGTAGTCTAGTGGTAGGACACCGGGCTTGTGACCGAAGGGATGCGGGTACGAGTCACGGCGCGGCACTGTATTGTCTCTTTGAACAAGATACTGTACACCGCTTGTTTCAGTCTACTCAGCTAAAAATGAGTACGTGGTTGGGCAATGCTAGAAATGTTGAATGCTAGCATTGAGCGCCGAAACTGCAGTACCGGCTGCATGCTCCCGAGGGAAGTATACTGGCTGCTTGCAAACGCCATATAACCACCGATAGTAATTTGTGAACCGCTTTGACACGACCTATGAATTAGATTGTGATAAAGCGGAATATTAGAACCTCGAATTAGTATTATTATTAAAGTATTATAGTTTGTATGAATTGAATATTGTTTTGTATCTTGGGACTAGTCAATACATCGCGTAATTGCATAACAAATGGTATATGCATGCAAGCGTTTTCCAAAGACTGAACAGATCTAATCAGATTACAACCTCTCTCATTGCTCGTATTGACAAACTATTTGACGCGAAATAACGATAATATGACTATAACATATAAAATAGAAACAAACATTTTGGCTCAAAATTGTAGTAATCCTTTTACGTGCAATTGTTAGTAAAATTGATATTGAAGAAACAGAACGGATCTTAACCACAAAGAAAGCAACAAGAAAGTATCAACGGTTTGGATATCATGATATCATGCGTTTTCTCATGGACAACATTAAACGTCGTTTTGATTCGACGCTATTCGTCGATTATGGATGTAACGATCCTGAAGTGGCCACGTTTCACGCCGACGTCCCGCTCCAATGAGTTGTCTTGCATGTCCTACTCGTTCATAACGATGCAATAGACACTAAATCGTAAAACTTGTGTAATTTATCACTCGCGCCATATGAAGTGTTTTGCCCCGGCTTATAACATCTTAGTCGCGCAATTTATATCCATTATCGAATTAGTATTATTATTATAGTTCAGCACTCAATTCTTGGTTTGTATGAATTAAATATTGTTTTGTATCTTGGGACTAGTCAATACATCGCGTAATTGCATAACAAATGGTATATGCATGCAAGCGTTATCCAAAGACTGAACAGATTTAATCAGACTACAATCTCTCTCATTGCTCGTATTGACAAATCATTTGACGCAAAATAACGATAATATGATTATAACATATGAAATAGAAACAAACATTTTGGCTCAAATTGTAGTAATCCTTTTACGTGCAATTGTTAGTAAAATTGATATTGAAGAACGGATCTTTACCTCAAAGAAAGCAACAAGAAAGTATCAACAGGTTTGGATATCATGGTCAATGCAAATAGTATAAACCAGTGAAGATATTATTTGCAAATATTGATTTAATTATCTTAGTTATCTTGGATATACTCATTTAATTGCCAGATTTCAAAATAACGAGTAGCAGTTTACCTATTATGAAGATGCCAAGTGTGTCAGCGTATGGGAAATTGACACTGTCCCAGGATGAACCTGAAAGAAGAACAAAATTTAGGAAATCTAGGCTAATAAAATATACCTCTACCCATCAACAATGGGAGGATTATTATCATCCCATTGGTTAAAGGTCAACATATATCGAGTTATATTCCATCGAAATACCTTTGTACTAATACACTATGACGTCCTGTAATTATAAAAAAAAGAATGACAGTCGAGTACAGCTTGTTTCCTTTTGTACCGAACAGTTTATAAGAATCAGGTTTATAAATCAGTGCTGGGTTGGGAAACAAATCTCATAGAACAATAGTATGATTTCCAGGCAATATTAATATCAATACATTTCATTTGCTTTAGAGGTCGTTTTATCTCACTTCGATATTTGATTGATAAATAAAAGGCAATAAACCCAAGGGAAGGTTACGTAAAAACATTTTTTCATAAACAGGAATATAATTTATTAATGAAAGTAGCTTTAACGGTTAATATTAATATCAAATAAATATCTCAAATCAACTGTTTTTAATTGTCATTGAAAATAACGGTGAATAACAACATAGCGTCAGGTGGATAACATACCCTTTGATTGATATCACATACTTTCAACATGGTCAGTATAAATCTTTGCATTATATATATTCTGTAGTAAAAATATTGTCTCCGATGTAAAAGCATGACTTACTGGATTCGGGGTGACCTGCATCCCCACTGTTGCTATACAAGAAGTAAGGCCGTGTTCGGACATTGTTATCAAATGAGCAAGTGGTGCTTCCGGATGCATCATCTAAAACTAACATCCATGCAGACAGAGCGGCACACGTACCGCTCTCCTCTATCACAGCAAAGGATCTTGTTCCATCACTGAAACATACGATATCATATCGTTAAATTAGATAAGAGAGTAATACAGAATGATCAAAAAAGAAAGAAAAAACGCTACTTGCTAATTTTGTACATGTTAAATGCGTTAAATATAAGCTTTATGATACTAAATTAACCATATAACTTGTTGCATACATTATGATGACATTCGGCAGCAACAATTACATAATTTGTGACACACTATGCAGCGCCAACTACGGAACTAGTGACGTATATTCCAATAACAACCATACAGTTGATGACATGCCATTATTTTTAAACAGCATATGTGAAGGAAATTAGCACGTTATACGCCACATATTCTGCAACAATAGCCAAATAATAAATGAAGTATTATGTAATAGCACAGGAAATATCTTTAGAGAAATAATATGTGACAATAATTATATAATTAAATGACTCAACAGCATTCATATATTCTGTTACATATTCTGTGACCACTACCACATAACCGGTGACTTATCCCCCACAAAGCAATAATAACTGTATGAAACTCAAGTAATCACATAACGTATGACACATAGTATGACAAAACCAATATTTACAGAGACATTTGTGAGATAACTACCAACATCTAGTGACTGATTTAGTGACTGATTCTGCAGAAACAACCACATAGTTTGTGACATACTTTGCAACGCCAACTACGGAACTAGTGACCTATTTTGTAATAACAACCATACAGTTGATGACATGCTATTATGTTCAAACAGCATTTGTGAAGGCAATTAGCACGTTATACGCCACATATTCTGCAACAATAGCCACATTTAGTGACTAATATTCTAAAATAACCTTTTAATTAAAAATAGATATTTGTATTAAAACGACTACATAATTAGAAATATTTCTTGTAAAAACCACATGATAAATGACATCTTAATTACATAATCAGATACGTGTAACGTAAACAAAACAGTGTACGTATTGATGTATTTGTGTTAAAATTACTTCATAATTAGAACTATATTTTTAACGACATTGCACCACATAATAAATCACATATCAATTACATTATAAGTGACGCATCATGTAAAACAGCAATGTTACTAGTGATATCCATATGTAACACCGACTAAATAATTAAAAAACATAATCTGTAACTTTAAAATAATAAATGGCATATCACTTACAAAATGATGTCAAGGGTCACGTTATATAACGGATTGATGAATATGTAAAATAATGACTATGCAATTAAAACCATATTTTGTCACTACCACATAATAAATGACATAACAATTACATAGTTAGTGATGCATTATTCAAAAAGCCACTTGATTAGTATCAATATCAGTAGCAAACAGTTACATACTAATGAAATATCTTCAACAACAACCACATATACAGTATATACTGACGGGCAAAATTAAGTATACACTCAATAAAAGGCATTAAATAATTGTATTGCATGCTGATAAAATCGATTTTAAATAGTAAAAATAAAAAGTAATTAGTGGAGAAATATATTTTACACAGAATCAGGACTGCCGTCAACTACCAAAAAGGCAAACAGTCTTACAAAATGACATATGGGTCATTTCAATTTTTCACGTGATTTTGACGTCACAACTATACACAGTAAAAAGACACTTTCGACGTTAATATCTTGTGTATCAGACATTGCTGTCAACTTTTACCACACAGCGTTTTCTCATGGACAACATTAAACGTCGTTTTGATTCGACGCTATTCGTCGATTATGGATGTAGCGATCCGGACGTGGCCACGTTTCACGCCGACGTCCCGCTCCAATGAGTTGTCTTGCATGTACTCCTCGTTTATAACGATGCAATAGACACTAAATCGTAAAACTTGTCTAATTTATCACTCGCGCCATATACAGTTTTTTGCCCCGGCTTATAACATCTTAGTCGCGCAATTTATATCCATTATTGAAAGTCTAGTCACATTGTTGTCACATCCAAACCTTGCGGTCTTTGCAAGGGAAGCTTATCGATCACAAATTGCACGCGCATTATTTCAGTGTGTTATGTATACGCGCTCAAGGTATAAAATGTATGGAAGCCAATATTCGAACTTAATGTCCAACAAAGTTACTGCATTTTTGTTTATTTTGTATCTTTGGAATTATGTTTTCCCACCAATATAACATTGGTTTTGCAATAACGTTATGTTTGGCAACAAGACATTCATTTTAAAAGTGTATACTTAATTTTGCCATTTACTTTATATAGTTAGATATATATTCTGTAACTATGACACCATGAATGCAATTTTCCGTGACAGAAATAGTGATACATGTACATACTAAAACAACAACCAGATATCTTGGCAATAGAGTGTAAGTGTACAATAATTAAACAGAGCTAAGAATTGAGTTCAGAATGACTCATTTTGAGTTGTTATATCGTGATATTAGAACTGACAGTGGCTAACTCTTTTTTTCTATATTTAAACGATACTGGCTGTTTATATGTCAACGTGGTATATCATTATTGTGTGCATTCGCTAGATGTTAAATCAGAGTTATGTCGCACCTTAATCAACTCTTTCGCAAATGAGGCAATACAAATCATTTTTTTATTATACCGGTAAGCGTATATGTATATTGTTTCAGTGCATTTTAATGCATTGGCGGATACGTAGTATCTATATTAGAGGCCACTACTGTAGATTAACTACACGATCTTTACACTATTTCATGATAGTGTACACATTTCAAACAGTAAAGGAACTTAATTTTGAATTTGCTGATTGCATACAACAAGAGTTAATGAAACTATCCATACAACATGCTGATGTTAAAACTCAGCAGGTATGATTTGATCATTTATTTTAAATAAACGCAAAGAAAGAATCAACATTTGAAATTCTTCTTCTTTCGCTGATATTATGAGTTTTAGTAAAAGTAACATTGAATATAATTTATGGTACATGTTATATTGTTTACAGGTATTGGCTGCAGATCGGTGTTCTTTTCCTGAAGATGGCTCGTCCTTAAGTGACCATACCTGTTAAAAGGACGTAAAGCACAATCCAAACGCATCATCATATAGAAACACACATTTTGATTGCTTATGCATAAAGATGGTGTACGCTTACCCAGATATACTTGCTGTCGTGGCATTGACGGTGCTTCCAAACTCAAGAGAAAACAGAACGTTTGCAGGATCCATCCATGTATTTTTGTTCGTGTTTATACCATCAAACACTACATGGGCTTCTTCTTCGCCAGATTTGAAAAACGAATACTTCACCTATAACCGTAAAATAAAGATAATTGAGATATTTATACGCATTAATGTACAACCGATACATTTATTTTCTATGTTTTTTTCCCAAAACAAATCAGTGTTCCTCTTACTAGAATAAACAAAAAACTCTCATTTTTCGAGAACATTGATAGTTTTCTGATAATAACCGTAAGACATTATACATTCAAGATATGTTATAATACTAGCGACGATATATTCACTAGAATGTCATTTTGGGGTTGATAAAGAAGCAATAGGAGATCTGCAGCAAATCAGACAAACTTACAGTTGTAGATCGCACAACGCTTCAAGGTGTGCGGTGTCCACATCAATTGCGCATAGTGCAAAACTGCAAAATAATTTGCGAACAACAGTCGTTCGATATGTGTCGTAGATGAGAAGTATTTAGTAATGGCCTGTTAATTCACATCTAAAATAAAGTAAACAAAAATCAGCAAACCTGGTCAATGATTGTCCAGTTGCTTGCCCAATCCTCCACCACAGCCGATTTGTACGAGACGGCTGGGATGTTATTAATTGTCTTGACTGTCTCGTCGCCATTGTATTCTGTGGTAGTTCCCTCCCACAGGGTTTCTAGGTTACCAGCCGAAGGAGTGACGCCATCAACACCCTTGAATACCATATGCCAGTCTACATGTAACATAAACAGGTAATTTAATTATACGGTAAGAATGGTTTTCATGAACATTAATTATTTGATAAAGATGAGAATATTTTTGAAACGAGTAAATGTTAAATGAAATTGTATCTGAGAACGTGAATTAAACGTGAATTGACAAAACTTAACTAACAGCAAGACCCCAGCTGGACTTATTTCGTTAAAAAATGCTGATCCAGAAATAACAACTGTTATTTGCAGAATGGCACTCGACCTTTAAACCTAACCGATCTTCGACACATTTGACTCGTGTTTTCGAAAAAGTTGGGAATGTTGTTTATTTGGACAAGCTTTATAGGATTTCAATGCCTCCGAGAAGGTTTGTCAATGTGATTTCATGAACAAACTTGCTAGTATTTAATTTCTATAATTTGCTACGTAAGTAACACTATTTTAGTCATTTTCTGATTAAATAAAAAATGTAAGCTTATTTAATCTCCTTCAAGTTAAAGGTTTAGGAAACAAAATAGAATATTTCAGTTAGCTACAAATATCATGACACTGGTCTTAGTGGAAGTCTTAAGACTTGATTACCCATAGTAACCTTTGCTTACTTTTGGTAAAGGCCAACTCTTTAGATTTAACACATAACACCAAAAGATATGGGTGGCGTACTTAAGTGTCACTGATCTAGACCTTTTCAAGTCGTTTTACCCCTGTGATACTTGACAGCACTTTATTGTATTTTACTCGAGAAGCACAACAAGTTGTCCCAGATAGCTGCATGATCCTTAGTCTTTCAGTTCGAAAGAAGAATGCGCAGAGAAGATGTTAACTGGCGACGGACAACGCACCATACTTAACGCTCGTGCCAGTCGAGCTTTAGAACAATAGCGAGTGATGAATGGAACATGTATTACCTTGGACAAATATACCAATTGCGTCTGCATAACCAACATTTCCTTAAACAAATAAAATACAATTTATGTTGCTAAATTAGTATTTGGCTTATTCCGTCTTTGTGTATTGCAGAGTTATCTTCTCTTGGGAGAAGGTATTGATTGTTACGTCACTTGTTTGTAAGAGTAACCTCATCACTTTTTGAGAAAACGACGTAATTTTCTCACACAAACCAACGACGTAACAATCAATACCTGCTCCCAAGATAGGATAACTCTGCAAAACGCAAAGACGGAATTTTACACAATAAAGCATACATTTTCTTTTATGATTTTTTTTTTTTTTTTTTATAATGAAATTCAGAAATTCTAATTTGATAATCTATAAATTCACTACAGTAAAGATTTACAGCTTGTTATACATGTGTATATATTTGTAAATCATTTTGATTATTGACCGATTAGAAAGATAATTTAATCAGTGCATTTGAAGACAAATAATTTCTGTTTCAGATATGACGTAATGATGAAGAACTTTTAGAATACATGTTTGGTTAAGTACACCATTGCTATAAACACTGTGGTGTTTACGTAACTACAAAATTGAAAGCATTCTTGAATACACATCTGACCAATTAAGAGCAGAGCCATTACACAATGGAACCATGATGTCATTAGAATATGACACAAACATTTATTCACGACTTTTTATGCATTGATGTTTTCATCTCTGTTTTTTTCTTCAAATTATGATAAATAGAAGATGGAAAAGATATTCATTCACTCGTATAACAAAATTTACCGATATTTTATATTTTCAAAAGTCATAAATAGAAATGTTAGCGTTTTCACGTTGAATATAAAATTATCTCACTAAACCGGTCGACTGCAACGATATTTGCACTAGTGGTACCCACTCTTGAATATATATTGCTATTATGCCATGCTCGTAATATACATGTTGTAATCAACAGGATACCCTTAAATATATACTATAAGCATCAATATACGTCTCTGTGAATATGTAGGTATCACTACAGACAACAATTGTCATCTAAAAAGTGCATTATTAGTCAACCTGAACTCCATTGTGTTAACGTGCTTGCAGTTGAGTACACAACATAGGGCTCCGTCCTGGAACCATCGTACGGTGCCCAGGCAGAGCAGCCTGTAGTCGATCCATAGTCTTTGATGAAAACCCATCCTGCATAGGCATTACACACACCGTGTGTGGAGCTAACGTAGAAACTATGCTTAAATGTCGTCGTGTCTGTATATCTGTAAATTCATAAACACCATTATAGTGAATATGTATGAAAATGCGTAAGGGATGAATTGTTCGTTTTAAAATGATTTATATCTTCAATGATGAGGTATGAATACGTCAAGAGACAGCGTGTAGCACTAAAAATCAGCTATGCACTGTAATATGTATCAATACATATATATATATATAGAGTTGAACATGGTGTAAATGAAGAATGAGCATAATAATAATAGCAACCTATATACGCACACAAAAACATACAATGCCCTTGTGAGGACGACATATTAAAGAAATGACACATATAATTTAAACATCAAAGAACTTTGGATGTTTGTGTATTGCTTTATACTTGTGACTGGGGGAAGTTAATAGATAACTCTTTGTGTCATTTCGATATATACTAAGGAAAGTATACCGATACAGAATAGGGCTAATTTGTTTAATGATTGTCATCAGCGGTCAAAATAAAGATCACAGTGAATTCCTTATTTGCTCTTGACAGCATGTTCTGCCATCTCTGGATAACTCTGCTTACTGAATTTGAATATTCCAGGAAAAATGGTATAGCTTTGGATAACATTTAAAATGACTGAAGTCAGAGGTCAAAGCATATATACTAGCGGAAAAAAGAAACTGTGCATGCGGAGAATTGTTATAGAATATATATTACCAACTGTATATACATGAACATTCACACACATGACCGAGTATGACACATACACACTATCCGTGTGTCATTGGCAGTTTTTCCCGTGCAGTTTGCTCTCTATAGGCGTTGATCAGTTTGCATGTTTTTCTCGTCCAGCCATCCAATTTGACAATGAAATTTTATTTTCAACTGTTGGGTCACTCTGTTGAGACCATGGAACAGTAAAAACAGCATTGTAACGTTTTAATTTGTGATTAACGCTATGCCGAGGCTCAATGAAAATGACCGCCTCCGGATTATTGGTATGCTTCAAGCTGGTTTGGGCCAAGCCGTTGTCTCTACACGTTTTTATGTCCATCGAAACACAATCCGGGATTTGTGGAGACGACATCAACAATTTGGCCACGTCGGCGATCGACCACGTGCGGAACGTCCACGTGTGACGTAACGTCAACAGGACAGCCATATTCGGCTTGTCCATTTGAGAAATAGCTTCCAAGCGGCAAGTTTGACTGGACGGACAATCCCTGGGTTGCTACCAATAAGCCCGGGAACTGTACGGAACCGATTGCGTGAACGAGCTATCCGTCCGCGCCGTCCTGCAATCCGCACAGTTCTTCTGCCATGTCAGCGTGTAGCACATCTGGACTGGTGCAGAAGGCATCTGCGATTTACTCGACGGGATTGGGCAGGCATTTTGTCCACCTGGATAGTAGTGACGGCCGTTCCAGAGTGTATCGTCGCGTTGGAGAACGTTTCCGTGACGCGTGTGTGGTACAACGACGTTCTTGCGGCGGAGGCAGCGTTATGATTTGGGGCGGCATCACAGCCAACGGGAGTACGCCTCTGGTGGTTGTTAACGGGAATTGGAACGCGCTATGTTACCGTGACGAGATCCTCCGGACCCACGTCGTTCCATTCGTGCAAGGGCAGCAACGTCACATTATGCTACAGCAGGACAACACCAGGCCACACACAGCTCGTGTCGCTATGGACCTTCTGGCCCAGCAGAACGTTGACGTGTTGCCCTGGCCAGCTGTATCCCCCGATCTGTTGCCCATTGCACACGTCTAGGATGAAATGAAGCGCAGATTACGGGCATTACCTAATCAACCGGTGTCGTTGTCTGATTTGGCTGCAAAGTTGGTACATATCTGGAATGCCATCCCACAAGCATTCTTGAATCGTCAGATAGGCGTCGACGTTGCCAGGCTTTCATTCAGGCAAACGGTGAACATACGAGGTATTCTTTTTGTGAACTCAGTATTGATCCATGCTGTGTTTACGTCAATCCTGAGCGAAACTTATTGATTCCATAACGTGGAAAATGGAATGCAACTGTTAATAAATAACAAATTGATAGTCCCTGAACACCTTGTTGTTCTACGTCATACACATTTATTTTTATAACACATTTTAGGCATGCACAGTTTCTTTTTTCCGCTAGTATATCATAGTGACCTACTTTTGATATATCGCACTCTGCCCTCATCAAATATACATGCAAACCAAAGTTTGTTAACCCTTGTGAAAAAGTATATAGACATTTGTTTTCAAGGGTAAGGTTACAGGTCAAAACTAAGGTCTCAATGACCTACATATCGTACTCTACACTCAATTGACCATACGGAGATGTACTCGCATACCAAATCTCGTTTTTCCCGGTGAAATACTATGAGAGATATCCCGGGCGCTATTGTTGGTTACTCTAGGTAAAATAGTATAGGAATTGCCCAAGAAAACCCTTTCAAATGTTGATGTAAAAGGACATATCATAGGTCACATTTACCTGCTGTTTGTACTCCGCACCCTGCCATCCAAAGTTGTATTTACAAAACAAATCTGGTTACTCCAGGTGAAACAGTATAGAGTATATGCCCGGACGAACATTTCAAAAGCTTGAGGTCAAAGGTCAAAAATATAGCTCATAGCGACATACATTCAATACGAATTTATTTATAATATAAATGAGGGTGACTATTTGTAAATTATATTAGGTTTATATATATGAGCAAACGACATCGCAACACCGAGCATTTCGTATGCGATGGATATCGGCACATATGCCAGACGTTTTCTTACGAAACATTTGAGGTCCTTGCCCTTAGTGATGAATCTCGATTGACATGCTTTCGAGCAGATGCCCGTCAACGTGTGAACTGAATCCATGGCGAGCGTTTTTTGTCTGTCGTCTGCGTTTTCGAGCATGACGAGTTTAGGTGGTGTTGATCCGGGCACTTTTCAATATATACTACCGCCCTATTGACCCATTTGATTGACATTTAGCCCCGATTGGTCGCCATATCGAGCATTTGTGCGATAAACAACACATGTAAATTTGGAATCACCGTGACCCCTCCGCTAAACAAAAGTGAAATAAACATATATATAACTCCCCCATTTAGTACGAGGTATTGAATAACACTCCTATATTGACATGCAATGTCCTTAAGAACTCTATGCAAGGCAAATCTAGTTATACTATAGCTGTTAGAGGAGGACACACACGATATTAGGGAACGGTTTCACAACAACCATTTCAACTTATGGTACTTTATTTCATGAGACGATATAATAAAGGCTTGTTTTGTTAAAAAATAATATAGGAGATTATATCAATTTTCAAAGTTACGTATACCGTCTGAAAATAAGACATGTTTCTAAAAAAATGTATTTTATTAATTAACTCTAGAAGTTTCGATTCTTATTCGTCTCAGTATATAAAGAATAACATATTTTAGTACTATTGCCAACGCGTAGATTTCTTCCCTGCGATCATTTTAATAAGTCAGAACACAAAACGGTTAACATGCGAGACATTCTTCTTTTATAGTGTGTAACTATGTTCTGTCCTAATTACACTGATCTTTGAAATATATGTAAACATTTTAATTAATGACTATGATTTGAAGTTATACGCACTTGATATCACAGTAGTTCTTAGAAACTGTTTTTATATCCGTGTAACTTGAATACAGGATATTGTCACAGTTCATCCATGTGTCCTTGCTTGTCCCCTGCCCGTTGTACACGATGTACGCAACCTCTTCATCATTCTTGTAAACCGAGTATCGAACCTGCAATACGCAGATAAAAAAAGTGTGCATACATCAACTCCTTTCACCTTTAGCTACTAATGACGGTAGATCTATACCTGAATTCACAATGAACTACACCCTTCATGTTATCCATTTTTAAATAAATGTTTTTTTCGAAGAAAACATACTTTGCTTTAAATCAATATATCAAATTCATTCTCAACACATTAGCAAAACTATTTCATTATTAAAAACAAGAATACAAGAGGGCCTGTATTGCTCACCTGAATATTTCTGCAATCATTGCAAAATAATCTCATTAAAACCTTATACTAAAAACATTTCAAAATATTGGTTCTTCTCTCAGCACCCCCCTTGCGTCCAGCTCTACGCTCTTTTGCCCAATGATGCTCTACTCCTCTGTTTATACGTAGTTGATTTCTATTTGCCCCGGGTACTTCACCCTAAAAATACTACACCTGATCAAGTAACTCCGTTGATTCGAATAATTGTTTAGTGATCGGAGGTCCAGATTTTGGATCATGGTCCAGCGTTTTTGTATTTTGTAAAGCTAGATTCATGCCGGGGGAAATGTTTATAAAAACCATAGTCACAGTTTTTGACAGCTGCACATGGACCGGTAAGTCTCATCTTACTGCAAATTTAAAACAAATATATTTCTAGATTTACATCGGTGTACGTACAGCTGAAAACGTCCGGTTGACTCCCCACTCGTTCAACAAGGCTGACTTGTACATAGAACCTCCTGACGAGAAGTCAGTCATCACACTCTCAGTGCCGTCATTAACTGTATCGGACGACAGGTAAAACGAGGCTACATCGGCATGACCAGAAGGTGGCGCTGTTCCGGTTGGAGATTTGAACACCAGCCTCCAAGCTGAAGGTAACCAATATTAATCGATTCTTAATAATATTATATGTTTGCGTAAATGGAAAATTGGCAAATATGCAACGTATAACTGTAATATAATTAGTGTATAAATCTTCTATATGATATGTATCTGTATGACGAATATATTCAAATAAATTATGCATGGGCTTTAAATATTTTAAAGGTTTGCCAATTGTCACAGAAGTCATACGTACGGCCCTGGAATGTTGATAACATCAACGATTCTGAAAGGAAAACAAGTAATACTATCAGGTATTTATTTCGGTATTAAAGACGTATGGCGTCTGCTACTACTGTAAAATTAAAGTAAAAGTGGAATTGATGTACAAATGATGTGACTAATCCTTATAATTGTTATATAAGTGATGTATGCTGCAAGTGTGTTTAAGCACTTAAGGAAATATATGTTAAATAAAGCATTGACAAGAGCTGTTACAAAAGAGTTATCAAATATGCATCAATTGTATGTTTGATAATCTGGAATCTATACAATAGGTTGAAACGAAGGCGAAAAGATTAAACGGGACAATTTCGAGTGATAGACATGGAAACTAGTCAAAGTCAGGGCATCGTACTGTGGAATTATTTAAAATACACAAAAAAGGCCTCAATCAAAAAAGTATCATTGGTCTGAATAAAATAGCCTAAATTGGCCACAAAACAGGGAAAGCAAGACAAACAGGAAGGCATTATGAATGCATAAGACAACAAGGAGATTCAAAGATTAAAATAAAACACACACAGTTGATTGCACCTTTAAACTATAGTAATAGTCACATTATGTCAAAATGAACTTTACTGCATTTTACACCTGTTTCATTCTTCCAGGACTTATCGGTGATGCTAAGGGACAAAAGTTTGGAGCAATATATTCGGTAGCGTAATCGGCTACTGCACGTCATGTGATACTTATTACGATGTACTCCATGACGACTACCAATTAATCGATGGATAGATTATGTTGGGGCAAAAAATGAAACTCAATTGTTGGAAAACTGTTTACAATGAAGATGCTCAACAAAGATCAACACAAAAATCATTTATAAACACTTGAAAAGATACCGTTATATAATAACTATGCATGATCCACTCACCGACACAGTACATTGTTGCATATCCGTATTTTGTAACCGAGTATGATGAACACGGGTTTCCTCCGAAGGTGGCGTCGTTAAAAGTTATAGTACAGTTAGTAGCTTGTCCGTGACACGCTACTCTGACGTCAGAAAGGGGATCCGTATCGAAGCACGTAGTACTATACCCATAGAAGGCGCTCGAGACGAATATGTAAAGTCCGGACTGACAAACCATTGTGTAGGACAAATCGACTTGGATGTCCCCCGTATTGTACACTGGAATAAGAACAAAGTAACATTAATCAACACGATGTAAGTGTTACATTTAATATTCACCTTGTTTATCATGGACAACTAGAACACTGACAGGTCAGGAATGGCCCCGTCTTGTGGCAATATATCCTCCATAATCATCAAGATGCATGCTGCCCATATAGCTGAGCTTGGACTTCAAAAAGAATCGCAAGGAAGCAAAATATACATTTCACATGTAATATGATGTGAGACTTGTTTCCTTCCAGCTCCAACTGGGCTGACAGAAATGTACATACCGGGGCAATACTCATTTGTTAGCTTTGATTTGTTTTATTTCACCGAAAATACCTCCTCCATCAAGAGCCATGGTTAAAGTCAGAGATCCACTTTGTCTTTGACCTTTGGACCCAAATGACATTGGCATTTAACCCAGTGACCCTCATCTTTGGTCAGCTGACTTTTTCTTTAATTACCAACTTTGCTTGATTATATCATAACCAAATTTTCATCAATGAAACTTCACCTTTGGACCCCGTAACCCCGTAACCTTGACCTTAGGTCAGTTGACTCCTTGTTTAATTCTGATCAACTTTCCTTCATCATGTCATAATAAATTGTTCATTAGTGATAGGATGCAAAATTTGACCTTGACCTTTGAACCTATTGACCTTGACATTTGACCTTGACTTTTTACCTCAGTATGTATTTTTGTGAACTGAACATTTTGACCAGGTTTCATGTAAATCGGTCAATGAACAAACTTTGTGGACGTACGGACAGACAGACAGACAGACAGACAGACAGACAGACAGACAGACAGACAGACAGACAGACAGACAGACAGACAGACAGACTGACTGATTACCAAAGGGCACCCGTATCTCCGATACTGGGCCCTAATACTAACTTAGTCATAACGTTTTGATGCACTAAGCTTTTGTATATATAATGGTATAAACATAATTCTTCCCAAAGCAATTTCTATTTTTACCTTCAATGCTAGTCTAACTACAGACACGCAGTACATGTAACGACAAGTTATTTACGTTATTTACGTTATGACAAAAGTCCCGGTTTTAACACAAGTACATGTGCATCCTCTGACTGTTTTTTTTCTAGGTTGCTAATATAATCGGTATGGAGTTCAACATAAATGATCTATGAGAGAGTATATAAGTTATTGGTGTTGAAATATTTTATGTATTCCTTAACGTCAGTTATCCTAAAAGCAGATTTGCTTAATTTAATATTGATGTATTCTAATACAAAGTTTCAATTCCAATAATGTCTGATAACTCTTTTATGAAAAGTAATCTCGACTTATATTTTCTCTAGCTATCTATTATTTCTGGTGCATTGCGCCATATATAGATCCCAATATACTTCCTTGGTTACGCAGACAGGTGTTTATTTATCCCGAACGGGACACTTCGGTAGTTTGGCTAATATGTTGTGCAAAGAAAATAAATCATTCCTTTTTTCTGATGCGTTCATCGAAATGTGTAATTGAATCCGCATCGTGGCATCGGGTATGATTCCAATTCCGTCATTTCACGTCATCGTTGGCTAATATTGACGTCACGCATATGACCGAGATTGAACCTGTAAACGCCCTATTTTTGTAGTGGAGAGTTTTATCATACATGATGCACATAAACGAGAGAATTGACGTTTACTTTCCCTTACCGGGACATGTGGCCAAATTAGGAATACATCCTTGAGTCTCTGATGTGTCTCCCGTACAACCCTGGCCGTTCGGACCCGCTGGTGTCGGATTAGTACATGTCCTGGTCCTGCTCTGTGTTCCCCATGCGTAGCACGTAGTACTACACGTATTCCAATCCGTCCAAGTTGTGAAGTTACCGTCAACTGAAAACATTGAAATTATTTAGGAATCTGTATGTTTTATTTTGTATTATAAACTTATTTGAATATGTGTGTGTGTTTTAGTTGAGATGATTAAAAGATTCTTAGAGGTGTATTACATCAACATTATTACACAAAAATAAAACTTATCCTTGAAAAAAAAGCCGTTACATTATCCGGTAGACTACATGAAAACTCATTTGTAGAAAATCATGTACAAATACGACTGAGCAAAATGAGGAGACAACACTAAATACTAAAATACTCAATGAAGTATGGGGAACACTTACGATCTGCGCAGTCCAGTCCATAGTAAGCTCCATCACAGACGCATTCATACTTCACCCCTCTGTGGTAACACGTGCCGCCATTCTGACAAGGACTGAAGTCACAGAAATCGTCCATTGCTAAAGAGATAACATATTACATTACAATGGTGGTTTACAAAGAGCAGTATGTGCATACTTGGTGACACTTCCAGGGAATGATTTGTGGCAGTTTAGCTGCCTGGCATATAGTTTGAAAATATACGCTAAGCCATATTACAAACATCTGCTGAATACAACACTCGCACCAACATCTGCTCCATAGAAGAAGTATAACACATTAGATGCATACAAGTCTTTCATAATTTACTGCTTCATACACACCATATTCAACATCTACTGCCTTCATTACTTTCGAAAATATTTCTGCTGAGTACATACCTGTACAAACATATGCTGCTTACTATTCTTAAATAAAACACCGTTGTATACAAAAACTTATTGACCCATATGCATCATACATTTATGCAAATATCTGCTGCATAGAGAACTTTTAAATATTCGTGGTCTACAATACTTGTGATTATATACAGCAAAAAATATTGTCCAGATATCTGCTGTATCAAAACATGTACAGGGATACCATGTATACACAATTTTAAAGCCATCGCTATAAACCGTAATCGTACAAATATTCTCTGAACTCGATGCTTGTATAAACAGCTGACGCTGTCAATATTTCAATGAATATCTTATACACATACAAAATTAGCTTAAGAACAACCTATTGTGGAATAGTACGTCAAACACCTGCCCATAACACAGTTTGTGATGCGAAAAATGTAATGTATAGAGGTGCTTTTTTACGCAGTTTAACTTTTGCTTTTTTTAGACGGTAAAATAGGTCACGATACTTTTACAGTAACAACATGTAAAGTGTAATCATAGAACTGAACGATTATGGGTAAACTAGTAAAGCAATTATTACCGACAAACAGTTATAGCATGCACAATTGCCTGTGAACTAGTATTTATGATAAGAAGATAACTTACCTACGGATATGACAAAGACGTCTGCAATAGCCATATCTGTTTGAAGAAACCATTTGTAAACGTTTCATTGCATTGTTTTATCTCGGTATTTTTGAAAATAAAATAGAATTGTATACGACAATGCCTTTAAACAGACATATATAGTATGTATGACAAGGCATGCAAAGTTAGCTTTGAGTATTTTCGGATAATTTACTTCTCTTCGTTAACAAAAGACAATGATATATATACATTTCTTACCGATTGGTGTTGAGGCATGCATCAAATCATTTGCAATATACATGTATCTGTAAACTAACTTGTTTTGATGTTACTTCCTTAGTATTGTTTACTCTCACAATGACCACAAAAACGTATAGATTGTAATAATAATCGTACACGCAGTTGCGTCTAGGCATATAATTTCAATATTTCATTCAAATTTATTATCAATCATCATTTTTGTTAGTGGTATAAATTACACAAAATACTACATTTTCATTGAGAGAAATATAGCTGTTATTCTTGCAGGATTTTGCTAACTGGTCACTGGATGGAATGCAATGTACAACTGTATATCTTAGTGAACAGAAATGAATTGAAATAGACAAGGATTTACACGTACTGTCATTGTATTCGTATCTAGCAGGCGATGCGTCACTATACATCGCGAATGGCGATGTAGCTTTATTGTCATAAGAACAACTGGAGCCTTCAAATACGCCTATCCATCCGCCGGCTGTACCACAACTGCTGTAAGTATACTCGATGAAGAACCGTCTTGATGCCGAGGTATCTCTGAATGGGAGACAATATCGTTTATACATATTAATAGATATCATTCAATATGATGATAGTACGATTTACTCATTAATGTCACTGCCTAACGGAGTGCATATTTACATCATCATTTAAAACGTGTAAGGTTTAAAACGTATCTGTTTATATAGATTCAAATCATAAAAGAAATAAATAACTACAGCAACAACAATACAATAACATTTAAAATGAAATGTTAACACGAAATCATGAAACAAAAATCGAAATGGACAAAAATACATTAATTGAAATGAGAGAAAAAAACCGTTAGCATTTCCTGTCACACAATTGGCAATCGAATGATTTCTTCAATTACAACCGCCTGTCAGAGATATTGGACAATTTAAGCAAAATTCAGTGTTAAATGAATATTGTTTTCAAACATTGAACGAGTATATGCATTTGTATTTTATATCTAGGCTCTTTACTTGAACAATGTGTTTAATTTACAATAGTCGTACAAGAAACTATGACATACCCGGCTATACTACAGTACACTAGTGAGCTTGTCCGCCTATTAAGATCCTGGAAGTTCGTGTACAGGATTCTGTCACAATCAAACCACGATGATTTGTCAGATCCGTGAGCATCGAATACTACGTAGGCCGTTTCCACACCGCTGGTATACATTGACACGCGTACCTGTCAAAAAACAGAGCATGGTGAATAGAAAAATTAAATATTCCGTCATCATTTCATCAACAAGGAAGTAGTTAAGAAAAAGTCAGTACGGTATATGCATATAATGAACTGTGGTTAGTTTTGGATTTTGGTTAAGCGCCTATTAACAGTCAATGTTGCTATTATCTCATATATAGGCTTATGCTTTCAAACCATGCATGCTTTTCTGTAAGCATTTTCAAGACTTACAACGGTAACTCAGTCTTACCGCCGTGAAATAATAGCTTGACCAGCTGTCTACGAGGCTTGATTTATACGTAGACGTGGAGGCCGCAAACGAATGAGCAGAGGTTGTAAATTCATTTAAAGTGTAGGTCCCGGTCCAAAGGTCGTAGACACTGCTAGCGGGTGAAATCGATTGGCCTCTTGCCCACTTCATCACAGGGTAAAAACCTGTGTTGACATAATGACATAAGTAATAATATATGATTTATATAATTTTTAATGTTATATGTAATATGTATCTGCTATTTATTGTAGAATAATTTTCGCGTCAGATAAAGTTTGCTTTACTACGCTTTCCTTGTTATAAACATTATTCTGCATTCACATGAGTGAGATTGTGCCTAATACCTGTCAGAACGCAAATTGTGTAAAACTAACCCACACATACGCAAACTATTACCGTAATACAGCAATAACGAGACCTCGAAAGATACCATAATTTGTTAATTGAAAATGAATTCGCTATTTCCTGAACTTTCCTATTTTTTTTAAACAATTTCGGTACGGTATAATTGTTTGTTATCTTTTATAATAAATTTGCTCCTGATTGATTGTTTTAATACGATACTGGTTTTATCATAATGATATATAAATATCCGATTGTTTCACCAGAAAACCTCACATTTATTTAAAAATCATATTATGCAATCGATTTATAATATCAGAAATATAAAAGTATCACACCTTTCACAAAAATCCCAAGTGTATCCGCAGCTGGAAAACCAGATGAGTCCCATGAACTACCTGAAAATATTTATAACAATTACGTAAATAATATTTAAGTATATCAAAATGTTACATTTATCATTTATTACACGTTATTATAGTAAATCATAGCTAAAAGTGTAACCCAAAAGAGCAAAATCAAAACTGAACGTAGATATGATGAGAGAGAATCACACGCAATATATAGTCATAATGCACCCTCCACCCCCCAACATCAACAACACCAACAACAGGTTCTCTGAAAGGGTAAATAGTTAATGCACCACATGCTGCACCGCATATACAGAGAAAGATCTGATAGAGACACGAAATAATTGTATGGCAATAACTTCACATTTTCACATTGAAAATAAATTGAATATTTTCAGTGCAACGCCTATTAAGAAATATAATACCAATATCAAAACCAGCCTTTTTTATTTAAGATTGTGAATAACAGTATCATTTCACCTGACTCAGCTAAACGGTCTGTGGTGGTACTGCTGTATAAAAAGTAGGGGCGAGTCTGGACGTTGTTATCAAAAGAGCACAGTACACTTTTTCCAACGTCTAGAACCATCATCCACGCATAAAAACCGGAACAGGAACTACTAGTTCTGATAAGAGCAAACTTCCGGTATGTGTCACTGTAACAAACGTTAACGCGATTGTTTAAAAAATGTAAAAAAGTTATGTAAGGAATTAATGTAATGAATTAATAGTAATCAAAAATGCTTTGCTTACTAAATGGTATCAGATTATACGAAAGCCTAGAAGGTGAATCTTTTGAACGGAAAATACATTTTAAAATCGCAATATTACGCGGATAACGCAAATTAAGTCGTACTCACGTCTTTTAGAAGTCGTTATTACGCGAAACAGGTCGTAATAACGCCTTTCAAAATCGTAATAACGCGAATATAGTCGTAATAACGCGTTTAACGCTTTTGAAAGGCGTTATTACGTGTTTATCCGCGTTATAACGCGATTCTATTTTTTTTCCTTTCAAAAGTTGACACTTCCAGGCTTTTTTAAGATTTTTTGCTGATCGTTAATTGTCTTTATTTTGAGAAATAGTATTTATAAGTTATTTTTGCACAGTATAGGATAAAAGACGAATTTATTTCCATTTCATCTAGTAAGAACAAAACGTTGTCAGGTCGCTATTGCACTAAATTCTCAAATTAAGATGCTTGTATTTGATACGTAATGACAGTAAACAGTATTAAAAACATAATTGAAATCAATCAATATTTTGTAAAGTTATATAGGAATTATATATGATATCATTATGAGTATATAGGACTAAATTGTTAGAAACTGATAATTCATTAGGCCAATTGGTTATAAATATTGAAACAAACTATCAATCACATGTAAGTCTACATTAACATTTGCCTAGATTATTCTCAGTAAGTATCACTGAATAAACCCAATACACACGGTGATTCTTCAGCTTTCTATGTCGTTCAAACCTGTGTAGATATACATAAGTTTGTCCGGTTGAAAGTAAATCGGAAAGGATTAACATTGATGTTTATCTGTTTAATAAGCTTTACCACATATCCGGTCAGCATCAGAGTGTAATTTCTAGAGTACATAGGACAAACCTCCGACATCATAAATCGTGTTTTTTTTTCTTTTGTCTCGAACAAGACGTGACACTAATACATGGAGCTGTAATTTTCAATTTGTGGTTTAGTATTTCCGAGAAAAAGCACACAATTCAGACTGGATGGAAGTTTACCTGGTACACACAATTAAAACCGAAAGTAGATCAACATGAAATGGATAGAAATTTAGCTCAAAATATAACACAAATACGTTGATGTATTGTAGGGAAACAACAGTGAAGATTTATGAAGACGTCAGAGTTACCTACCCTGCTATTCCACTGGTGGTTGGTGTATCGGTGGTGACATCACTGTAACTGGAATATATTTCCTTCCCATCAGCAAACCATGTGATCTTGGTCGTGCCCCGCCCATCAAACACAACATAGGCCTTTTCGTCTCCACTCGTGAAATAGGCGTACTTCACCTGTCATAGACAGGTATATCATTTTAGAATCAAATGGTAGGATCAACATTGATTGCAAATGAAAACAAAATCAATTTATAAAATAACTTGTTTTAATCTCTCATGTAACATTTTATTTTGTGCAAGTTAAGTGAAACAAATCAGTTAAGGAAACTGCTCGATTAAGATAAAGCCATATCCTGTTTTCGTCCGGTTTATCAAATTTCAGTTTCATCCTGTTTGTGTCACTGCTGTTGATTTGATAATATTCTAAACTATATATCGTGTGTAGATTTTTGTATAAATGTGCTAATCAGACAATGTTCATTCACTACCGTGTATCAACCCTCTATATATATCAGCGCTCGGTCCTGAGCCCCTCGGGCTCATACAGAGGGTTTTTTGGGTTGATATTGGGTAGAATAAACAAACTGCAATATGATAACCTCTAAAAGTAGATAATTCACCATGAAACATGTTGTGTAGAAGTAACTAAAATGTAATAAAAACAATTTCCAACTCACCATATCGATCAAGGTAAAGTATCCTTCCCAGTCCTCCACCAGACTTGACTTGACGGTACTGCCGGGTGACGTGGTGATGGTGGTTTTCGAGTCGTCGTTATCATTCTCCACGGTCGAACCCGTCCAGAGGTCAACCAGTGACCCTGCTGTCGGGGTCACACCTTGCACTCCTTTGAACACCATGTGCCATTCTGAAGATAACGAAGACGAAAGTGAAAAGCAATCTCCCTTCAACCTTTCTTTTTGGTACAATAAAAATCCTCCTCGATCAGATAATTTCATCGTCATTCTGATAAAAAGGGAGAGTTTCGCGAGAGATTTTTTTGCATTTGTGATGATCTGAAATCTATAAACTCTGTGTAATAACATTTTATATGGTCAATATGTAAATCATATATTCACGCTTATTCACTCCTCGCAAACATGCTTGAGCGTTTTTCTTGCCGCAAATATATGTTTGTAATGTTAGGAATAATGGAAGTTTATATTATAGTTAATTGTATATTCTTAGACTTTTCCTAATACATACTAGACAGTGTCATTGTATTGTATAATTGGTAAATTTCGTGGGGGATTTAAGTTCGCCATATTTAGCAGTCATAAAAAGATAAGGCGAAAGCAATAACCAATATTAATACCATGAGTATACAGAGATGAAATAAACGACATCTTAACGTATTTCTTACCGAATAATGAGGATAAAACAACAATTAATTATCTTATTTTACGTTACTTTGATAAACAGTTGTAGAATGTATCCCAAACACTAACGTACCGACGTTAGCACGATATTTAAACATGACAATGTTGCACACAATTTCATCCCTGCGAACTGTTTCTGATTAGGATAACAACGAAATTAAGCAACTATATAGTATAACAATTGTAACCAATGTTTTATTAAAAGTGAAACGTATAGCAATTACAACCAAACCATACTTACCCATGATGAATATAGCCAAGCTGTCACCATTGCTAACTGAACCTGCAATTTAGACAGATGTAATATGAACGACAAGTAACAGTGTGAACGTGCATTGGAAGGACGTGTGAACATTTATTGTTTAACTTACATATACATTAGTTATGCTATATTCACTTCAGAATATTTATAGATCATAAAAACAAGAGGGATGGTGCAAGACGCAAAACTGATGAAAGACCCCCTCATTTTAACATCATGTATATACATTTATACTTTTTAGTAAGTAATGTTACAGTCAATGCTTTATCAGTTGATCATACCAATGGTGTTTGTAGTTACTAACTAATGTTTCTGATTGAAACAAAAGAAAGATGTACAGTGGTGTCACAATACGGATGAAGATATAAAGGACAATATGTATTACTAAACTGTCTATCATGTGTAAATAGCGGGCGGTGTGAATGTGCGACAGGTTTTCAATACCTGAAAATGGCACGTCACTGAGGTAAGAAAGCTTAAAATGTATTACCTCTACCTGGCTTAGTGCTCACGTGTCCTTCATGTGGGAACGTACAGTAGGAATTATGTCCATATAAAGTACATTGATATTGTGTGTCAAAGATGGCAAAAACGTTAATAGGTATAACCTGTGTCTATCGCGAGTGATCAGAATGTGAAAGTTGCTATAATTTGCTATCACGTGGCAAGATTGTCGAGTATGTATAACGTACCTTTCTTTCACTTGTTAACAGTGATGAGTATGTACAGCAGGTATTACGCAATGATTACGTGTTCTCGTAGTTCTGGGAATGTATAGTAAGTATTTGGTTACTATCTTTCAACTTTCAAATTGCGAGAATGTACAGTCGATAACACATTGTACCTTCTCGTCTTTTACTTTGCAATAGTTATGATAATGTAGACTAGTAACCGCATAGTTGGTTATTTACGCGGAAATGTACACGTGTCACGTGTCCATAATGGTGCGAAAATGAACTAGGTATGCCTTACCTGTTTGTGAAGTATCGATAATACTGAGAATGCACAGTACAGGTATTTCATGCATGTCAATCACAACTAAATAGTTATAAAGGACATACAATTTGTACATCGTATTACGTCCCCCTTGATCAAGTTTTAAAACTATAACGATGCAAAGCAAAGTGTGTTATTTACCGGAATAAAAATTTTGTAGTGTTGTGCTCGTGGAATATTTTATATATGGACTACTCGTTGTAGATGGGTCCCACTCAGTACAGCCGGACACAGAGTTAAAATCCTTCAGCACTATCCACCCATACATAGTTGTACATCCGGTTCCGTAGCCATTGATGAAAAAGTTTCTCTTGTAGTTGGAATCCCACGGTCTACAGCAGATATTTAGTATCAAAAATAATAAGGTCTGTGTTGAGTAAGATCTTATTATACAACAGAAAATATAACAGCAAGGATAAATGAATACGAAAGTACATATTTATAACATTTCTTATATACTTTCAGTTTATTTTGTTTTCTGTTAAATCATAGTAAACAAATTTCGTGATAAAAGTGTATTTGCAATAACCGGAAATACTTACGAAAGTCCACAGTAATTTTCTGAGTAGGTTGCTATGTCTGTGTAGCTGGAGCCGATTATGTTATCGCAGTTGAACCAGTCCAATTTCCCTTTCCCGAGTGCATCAAATATCACGTAGGCTACTTCTTTTCCACTTTTGAATACTGACAGTCGTACCTACGGAAAAAGTTATGAACATGATTGCTTCTTCATAACCAGTTTAATATATTTCACATTCGTGATATAATACACCTACGTGTAGTAGGGGGACAGGTTTTTCCATGCCTATACATTAAATACAGACAACTTGAACTGGTTTAGTTTATTTGCCTCTGAAGAGACCCCTATACCTTGGAGAGGGGTCAATAACCGTTGTATCATGGAATTTCATGCTTTTTAAATACGTTGTACTCCATCTGAGCCGCGGGGCAGTCAACCTATCGATGTAAGCTATATATCTCTACGCCCTCGCCCGTCGGTGGTCAATGTATATCTTACTGGTAGTGCGGTTACACAGATCGGGTACGCACAGTCACGTGACAAACATATCTTATCTATACGGACAACGCGAGATGCAAAACGCAGTAAACTGAACAGTATATAATAACACACAAGTACAATACGCGGGAAAACAAAACAAAACCTGTCTTACGACACACGGGCACAGATCGATGCATATAACTAAGTACTAACATTACACACTTGCATATTAAACAACATCTACCAATTTGGCAATATGCAACTATATTAATGTTAAAGGTCTAAATAACAAGATTAAATCATAAAACAATTATAGATAATAATGAAACCACCACATAAAAACATGTGAATCTTTATGTCAATTGAGATGATATTTGCTCGTTTCAAAATATTTTACGATTAAGCGAATCAATATATTGTTTTTCATGTTGCTCTTAATTTTGAGTTTGACATCCGTGATACATTATAAACATTTTCCTTAGTAGAGTGCACAGATAACAAAAAAAATCGACTAGTTTAAACCACAACTTGTACTGTTCCCCTGCTTGTATTATTTCATTCGTTCGGCGTTCCATGGAAGCCAGCACTTTCACTCGATATAATTATCATAGAACAATACAACGTTCTTTATAATGTGTACACACATTTTAATGGTATTGCTCGTACCTTGTACTAAGTATATAATGAACAATAAACTTGCTAGGTAGGATAGGTTGTATTTTGGTGTCTTTTGCAATCCAAACCATACTATAAGGAATGCATCGTATGTCAAATTAGTTGGTACAGTCGATCACATATTTTCGTATGTTGCAGTAAGATTTGGCTTGTACGAATTCATGTATGTCCTGCTGCATTCTATCACAAAACATCATGTTTGTTTTTAAGTTTGTTTGTTACCTCTTCTATCCCATTCAAATTATTGTATTACCTAACATGCAGTGTCAAAACAACCAAACATTGAAGGAAAACGCCAAAATAACTTTTCTGTTCCAGATACGAGCAAAATGTGTCAAAAACTGTATATAGTCACTTCCTATTGATAACATTACAAACTGGGGTGATATAGTTTTCAATGTACTTTTAAGGAAAGCAAGTTTCAGTTAGAGTCAATAATCCAAATGTCCCAGTTTAAACTCATGGAAACATATCTTCACTGGACTATGGTAATTTAGATTCGATCTTTCAAATTAAAAAAAAATATAGGAATCAAAGGAATCAAAATGATTTTTGGTTCTGTCAAAAAAACATTGATATAAAATGAAAAGGAGTTAAAATAGTACTGACTGTTATTTGTTGTCATTTATTACATTTTTACCAGTAACAAATTGATATTATTCATTCTATAAATGTTTTGCTGATTTGTACACCAATGTCCAGCCTGGTTAGCTTAACATAACTAAGTATACATTAAAACAACGTTATCATTTAGTTGAAATATTGCTGTCATATGCCAATGTATGTATAGCATTGATACAAGTGAGATAGTTTCTTCCAACAGTGTAATGACAAAAGGTTTGTTTATATTGCCTTGTTCCATTTCCTAAGAAATCAATATACGTAATTGAAGTATAAGGTAAATTTCTTTGTCGTAAATCTTAACACTAGTATGCTTATTATGATGATGGATATTCATACAAAATGTATTAATGCAAGCTAATTTAAAATATTTAAATTCTTTATTTTATCTCATTAGCTTACGGCGGATATGGTTATGCCAGACTTCCATTGAAGCAACTTTGAAGATTTGAACGCACTTCCGCCGGAACTGAAGTCGCGCATGACCGACACACTTCCATCATTGAGTGTGCTAGACGAAGTGCTGTCAATGAAGTGTGTGTAGTAATCGCTGTATCCTGACACCGTCGTACCCGCGGGGGCCTTGTACACCAATGTCCAGGCTGTAAGTATGCAAAATGAAATACATATATCTATATCATTAAAAACTCTGATAATACAGAACAAAAGTTAAATGTTGTATCCATGATTTTTTCTTATAATGCATAGAAGAAATATTACCTAGTGCAGAACATTTTATATGGGAAAAAAACACTTACGCCCACGATGGGTGTCTAACTGGGCATCATCTGAAATAAAAGAAAACACAATGAAACAATTAAGTGCATCGTCAACATAACAAGACGCAACTCATTGAAAGTCGGCGTGGAAGGAGGAAACTCTACTGTATGGCACTTGTGTGTGTATTAAACTGTTGCAACGATACGAACAAATTAATTGCAGAAAGAGGAAATGAAATAACAATCCCAACTCTCCTCAAAAGAGGCCAATCAATGAGAGACAGAGATATTCCAGAAGGATATTTGAGCCACCATCGTACCAACTTCCCAGATTCAGTGTGGGAGAGATATGTCATGTCCTCTAATAAGTTGGAGAGAGTCATTTAAACAGAAAATACATGGTATGATAACGTTTGATCAAAATATCATTCTTCTATGTATGAAATTGGTCTGTCAAAGCTAGTTGTCAATTTAGCTTTATATTTGTACAGTACTTCATGCGTGAAAAGTGGGACCTAAATTTGAAATTTTGGAAGCCATCTGCAGCTGATGACTAAGGACCACGGAAAATTAACATATGAAATTTGATAGGGATACTATCAAGTACTTCTTGAACAAAAGCGACAACGAAATTGAAAAGTAAAAAAATCAAAATTCAAATGGATGTCTGGTTCGTTTAACGATGTAAAATCAAGAAGGTTCGTGATCGTTTTTACCTGAATACATTTAACAAACAATTAATTTTCGCATATGATATGTTCCTGCAAACAATAAAGCTTATTGGTGCGGTACCGTGAAACTGTCCAATTGGGGACCGCTCCAATACACTATACACGTGTACTAGGCATTGTGATTAATGTTTGGCATATAATTGTGTACGCCTCGTTTACCCCATTATAGACGATATGTTTCTGACCACTTCTATGTATGTGCGTTGCATGGATGTTTGTGGCAACGAACGGTTAACCAGTGATAGCTTCCCTTGCATGGGAAGATGCCAAACTTCAGTAAGTATATAGCAGTAAAAACTGTTTCACTCGTTTGGATTGTATTCGATACCAGTTGATCGCTACTTAATATAAACAGTATAATTATCTACAATAGCAGTTGTACGCTATTTCGTAAATACAGTAAAAAGATCTATAATAGCAGGCCTAAATCAGAATATGTCTTTATTTAGAATGTTGTACGATTGTGTCACTAAATTGTTTTCCCCACACAGTGAGACTGTTTGAACAATTTCAAAGCTGTACTTGCACGGGTATTAAGTAAAAAGTCATTTATTTTATCTTATTTTTGTACGGTATTTACTAGATAACATGTTATGAAAATAATCAACAAAATGAGTTGATACATGACTCTAATATTTCTTCAAAGATATAAAATTATCCCAAGCACTCAACATTAAAAGTTCCTATTACGTCTATTTTCAAAGAATTGGATTGGCCAAATATTTAGTTATATAAATTTGAACTTTTTTGGATGTTACAGCAAACAAATATTATCAAAAGGCGGAATTTTATCGACAGATGTTGATATAGTATACGCAAAATATAACTTATTTGACAGATAGCCTTTTTTGTTTACTGATATTCACTCCTAAGGTACGAAAGCATTAAAATTGCCAGGAATGATGCCAGTATAATGATGTTCGTATCAACCATGTTTCAATAACAGTTATACACTTTTTGAGAGAGGAAGATAGATTTCTTGTAAAACTAAATCCTATAGTTTGAAGATAACATGTGCAGTATAAACGTCACAGATATATGTGCAGTATAGACGTCACAGATATCTGTGCAGTATAAACGCCACAGACATCTGTGTATTATTACGTTACATATATGTGTGCAGTTTAAGCGTCATAGATTAGTCGTCATAGATTAGTCGTCATATATATATGTGTAGTATAAACGTCGCTGATACATTTGGATCACATATATATATGCTGTATAAACGTCACAGATATGTATGTGTACTACGGATATGTGTGCAGTATAAATCTCACAAATACGAGAGCAGTGTAAACGTCACATGCATATGCGCGGTATAAACCTCCTAAATATGATTGCAATGAAAATATTACAGGAACGTCACCGATAGCTGTGCAGGATAAACGTCACAGGTACGCCTACATAATATACGTCACATACATATACGTGCAAAAAAAACCGTTACAGATAGGTCTGGAGTAAAAACACAGATACGTGTTCAGCATAAACATCAGAAATTTCTGTACAGTATAACCGTCACAAGTATGTCTACAGTATAAATGTCACAGATATGTGTACAGTAAAAGCGTCATAGAACTGTCTGCAGCCTAAATACCACGTGTATGAGTGGTGTATAAACGTCACAGATATGTGACCAGAATTCACGTTACACATGATTGTACAGTATAAATGTTACATATATATATGCAGCATAAACGTAAAATGTATGAGTTCAGCACAAATATAACATATATTTGTGTAGTATAAACGTCACAGATTTGTGTACACAGTACACGTCACATATAGCTGTGCTATGTAAACGTCCAAGGTAGGTAGGTTGTATACACATCAAACATGTGTGTTCAGTATAAATGTCACAGATTTGTGTGCAGTTTAGGCGTAAACCATTTGTTGCAGGCTAGTGTCACGTGTGTGAGTGGTTTATAAACGTCACAGGAATATGACCAGAATACACGTTACATATGATTGTACAGTATAAATGTTACAGATATTTATATGCAGCATTAACACACAGATATCTGTGCTGTATAAACGATAAATGTACGAGTGTAACACAAACATAACAGATACTTGTGTAGTATACACGTCGCATATGTCTGTGCTTTATAAACATCACAAATGTATGTTCAGTATAAATGTCACAGGCATGAGTACTTTGCAGTTTTATGTGGTTAGACACATTGTTTTAGTTATCCACTGAAGAGTACCATGCTCACATTATTTAGGAAACAATACGCGTTCGACAATCACACAATCATTAAAGTTATATATTCACAAAATAAAATAAAGAAAACAGACAGCATCTTACCGTCACAAGTGTGTGTGTTACAGTACTGTGTTTCTGTAGCATCACCACTACAGTAGGACCCTGGGGAAACGAACGAAGGGTTGTCACACGCGCGTGTCCTAGATATGGATACACCACCTCCGCAAATAACCGGACAGTCACTCCATGTTCCCCAGTTAGACCAGCCTCCATTGCCTTCAAACAAAACATATTACAAGCAATACTTTCTTATCTTGATGTATTGATTAGCGTGACATGTAGCAAATAATGGTAATTGACAGGAAACTTTCTTTAAACAAATAATCCCTCCCTTACTGACAAACTGACATGTAAAAATATGTTATGTCAGATTACTAAGCAATGGTGTCATTTATGTGTCTCAATGTGTCTGTGGTTTGAAGTTGGTTCGCCTGTTGGAACACAAGTAAAGCCTGTGGTGTAGCCTGTGGTGTAGCCTGTGGTGTAGCCTATTGGAACAAAGGTAAATCCTGTGGTGAAGCCTATTGGAGCAAAGGTAAATCCTGTGGTGAAGCCTATTAGAACAAAGGTAAATGCTGTGGTGAAGCCTATTGGAACAAAGGTAAATGCTGTGGTGAAGCATATTGGAGCAAAGGTAAATCCTGTGGTGAAGCCTATTGGAACAAAGGTAAATGCTGTGGTGTAGCCTATTGCAGTATGGCTAATTGCAGGTTTTTATGAAAACTAAATCTAATAAGTCTACGCATTAACGATGTAATGAATTGTTTTTCTCGTACATGCTGATGTATATTTATACTAATGCAATGCTAGTCAACAACAACAACAACATTATAATTAATATATACCAACAGTATATACTTACGGCCACATTGCCATTCTGCATTTAAGTAAGCCGTACAGCTGTCTGAAGTAGTTCCGAACAGAGTGTCGCTGATAGTTAACGCTTTCGAGGTATGCCCATCGAGATGGAGCTGCAGCGTCGACAATACGTTCACGCTAGATGAAGAACATGTGTAATACGTCCCACTTGTCATGTCTATAAAGTAACCGGAGCTACAACTAAAGGTGTAAGAAAGGCCCTCATTCTGGTTCCCAGAATTAGCAGAATACACTGTAATAGAAAAGGGTCGGACTGTGATATAGCAAATGTATATAAAATGATACAGTTGATGTATATATACAATCATATAATAAATGTTTTATAACAGCAAAATGATGAAAACCCTGAAATAGAAAAAGGACAGGCTGTAATATAGTGGATGTGTAATCATGCCACAATTCAGTTGATCAATTTCGATGTTATATCTACTTAGAATACTCGTAGAATCAGCGTAGTATGCAAAAATGCTACTCACCTATTTATAAGAGAAACCATGATTTTAATGAAAATAATGCAAATAATATTATTTATTAAAAACAACAAGTATTACTGCATATGCAAACCATTGCTAAGTAAAGTATGTTGCACTCGTTAAAGGTTTTTGAAATGTGCTCCTAACAGTTGTGAACTTAATTTCAATCAGCAAATAAGCTAGTTTATTTTATATTCATAACAAACGATGTGTCATAAGGTTTTATGTTTAAGACTCTAAAATCAATGAATACTTCGTTAAACCCGCGTGACAGACCATATGGCCTTACTAACAAATTCGTATTCTCATGTTATTGAGGTAAAACATAACATGTTTGTCGTATTAAACCTCACTCTTACAATTGGTTTGATCATCACTATTTTGACAATTTACATATTGCCGTGTCTCGTAATCGAGATTTACGAAGGGAGGCGAGTCGTGGTGAACTCGGAGTTTGACAAACTTATTCGTGAGTATTCGGTGAAAGGTTCTGTTAATTTTTGGCGTCATAGACGCATGTTCAATAGAGCCACTTGAACTTGTTTCTTAACGACGGATGTCAATTGAATGTTGTGGATACGAGGAAATACTACCGCAGCGTAACGCTGGCGGCCATAAGGGCATGTGATGTTTACGTTGGGCTGTTTCGTTAGGGATCAACTGCGGCAGGTACAAATCTATTCTATATTGTTGTTTCAGTATTTCACCCTTGTAAGTAGTACATAGGATTATGTCGTGTATATATATGGTTGTGTCAGTGAAGTACACATCATACATGTCGTGTTTACTTTGTGTCGACCTAGTACTAAAGTGCAGATCTGAGAAGCCCAATATGGGTTTTGAAGTAATATATAACAGCCAAAACAGATATCCGGCTCGGGTGTTCTCCGTGACCTCGGATTGAACAATAGTGTCAAGGTCAGGTTTTACTTTGTAGGTGTTTATTTTTTATTCGTATGCTGGTTGGATTTACTACTGGATAATTGATATATTGAAACTTTTTATTGAGAGTTTATAAGGAAAGGCCATAGATTTCACTCATTTATATTTATGATCCCCTTTCCATAGGGGTTAAGATCAATTCTAAGGTGTGACACGGTTCAAAAAGCAACAATTTGAGATGTTTTTTCTTTTTTTTTAAATTCTGGTTTCCTTGGATGAGGGTTGTGACCGATAAAGTCTCTTATTGGAAGATGAAATAATAGCAAAGTGTTAGTGCCATGGGGCAAAATATTACTTGAGATGGTTGTCTCAAGTATGTTTGGTTCCCTTGGATAAGGGTTGTTACCAGTAAGTCTTTTATGGAAATAAAAGCAAACTGTTGGTGACTTGGGGCACATGCACGATTTGTTTTCTTGTATATTTATGTTCCCCATGAGGATAAGGGTAGGTCCTTAGTTGTTCAATGGATTTCTTTTCGACATTACCCCCTTTAACTTCTTAGTTCCAGTTTATGGACATTTGTATATATGTAGGGGCCCGAAATTTACTCACATTGTTTTTTGTTAATATTTGCTATCGTCTCTTGTGGGATAGCTCAAGGCATATATTGGGCTTGTCGTCTATTGAGGAATAAGCATATTACATTAGGAAAATGTTTTACCATTTGGTCTTGTGTTCCATGTATCTATCCAGGGAGGGCACTTGATTTGGTTTAAGATAAAGTTGTTTCGTGATAGGGATTATGCTGAATCGAGGGGGTCATGGGCCCATGCAAATTGCGAATAACTCCTCTTAATTTATTTATTTTATGAATTTTACATAATATGGTTCCTTTAATTTTTGTGAGAGACTGATATTGCTAGGATTGGCCATACCCTTTCAGCTCTAATACTTTTCCCCTGTAGTGATATTGGCAAGGGCTATAAGATGAATATTTTACAATCATTTCAGGGGGAAATGCCTAGGCAGCCACAGAATAAAACTACTGGACGGACCCCTCCCCGAAAGAGACGGAAGACGACTGAGGACGTTTTCCATGTAAATGTTGCTGAGTCACAGCAGCCAGTTCCAGCACCACTGGCCATGGTGACACTTGCGGGAGCAAACAGTCCTGTACCGCATATGGAGTCTGGGACATTGTCTGTCCTGAAAAACAATACCGCCCCTACTCCTGAGTCAACTCCAGTACCTCAGGCGACCATCGCCATGCCAGAGACCACCACATATTGTTCGATATTAGATTTTCAAGGTGGGTTGTAAGATGTAGGTATAACCAAGAGCCAGCCTTTCTCTATGGCTGGTCCTTCTCCCCTTCAAGGGTATCGGCTAAGTTAAAAGAAAAGATTTGGCCAGGGGAATTCATTGAATTGAGTCTCCTGCTCGATGACTAGACTGAGCCTGACTATTCCCTAAAAATGGGTAAGGACGGGATGGTCAGGATAGTCCCTGCAAAGAGTAAATCATACCTTGATATAGAGAGGTGGACATATGCCTTTGGTACTTTCCTCAGTTCTCCGCCTCAAACTTCTGGAGAAATTGGACGCTCTGGCCACATACTAAAATGTGTTCAGAAACATTGCATCTTGCAGGGGAAGTTAGGTATTTTTCCGATGTCAATTTCCGAAAATATAAGCAGGGATCACCAACTATGGCTTGACAGGTATTAGAGATTATATTGATGCCTCAACACTTCTGGGCTCTAAGACTTGGAAACCAAGAGCCATGGCCTACAGTGATATGCTGTATCGTCTCATTCATCTTTGCTCCAAGTACACTACCGTCTAAAATGAGGTCGAAACATAGTGATTCGGGACTAAAACCCTTACTGATGTGAATGAGTCGAATGTTCATACGTTGCATAGGACTAATTTCGTTTTTTGGGCAAAAACGAGTTCAGGACGCGTCTTTGAAAATGCCACATATTCGACTTGCATACGTAACCAAAGCTTGGACATAATCCAGCTACAGTGCAACTTCAATATGATGTCCCTCGTTCCATTTGCCATCTTATTGTCAACACATTTAAAAGGCATTTCCTTCTTTATCCTACAAAATATTTTATATGATCCCTTCATGTATTGCCGATCCTCTTCATAACGCCAAAATTTCGCTTGGAAAAAGGCGTTTTATTTATCTAGTAGAACAGTTAATTATAATTAGAATGAACACACACGAGGCACTCAGGTTTATGCTCAATACTTAACTTCCATGTTTTAATCTACGAAACCGATACAGTCATAGCCCGTGGTATTAGTTTAAAACTACATAACCGATACAGTCATAGCCCGTGGTTTTAGTTTTTATCTATAGAACCGATACAGTCTTAGCCCATGATTTTAGTCTAAATCTCCGGACGATACAGTAATTGTCCATGGTTTTAGTCTAAATCTACGAAACCGATACAGTTATTGTCCAAGGTTTTAGTCTAAATCCACGTAACCGATACAGTTATTGTCCGTGGTTTTATCCTAAATCTATGAAACCGATACAGTAATTGTCCGTGGTTTTATCCTAAATCTATGAAACCGATACAGTAATTGTCCGTGGTTTTATCCTAAATCTATGAAACCGATACAGTAATTGCCCGTAGTTTTATCCTAAATCTATGAAACCGATACAGTAATTGCCCGTAGATTAAGTCTAAATCCCTTTTTCGATTGGTTATTCAATTTCACAAATTGACCAAGAAACATAGGAATATTTTGTAAATATCGGGTAAGCTCTGATGCTATGAGTGGAAACTATCAGCGAATCAAAACGAAAGAATTAACCTTCAATAACTTTGACGGATAGACCAGAAACAGAATAGATACATACTAATGTTAAGTGGCGATGTTAATAGAAATAGTGACGTTACGGAGCGGAAACCTTTTATTGACTGGCGAACAGAGGTGCGAACGGACACCATGACACGACCTGTTTAAGTCGGGCGAATACAAAATTGTATCCGCATTTATGCTCTTTGTACTTTCAAACCAAATTTCGTGTGTCTTGCACAACAACATATCATGTTTTATTATTAATTCACACACTCCGTTGTTTCTAAATATTGTCACGACTGATTATAACAATACTCAGTCAAGTGCCTCACGAATGATTAAAGGTTATTAATTGTTGTACGCATCCGGTAACTAGACATTGTACTTGGCTTTACATATCACACAATGGTGTGTCGATGTCTCGGCACGAAACAATGATTAAACACAGACCATTGTACCAACACATTATAAAAGACTGTGATTGCAATTACATGTTGTAACGTTTAAAAGGGTTTAAGCACCTTTCCACGTTTGCTGTATTTTAAAATATGCTTTGAAACACTTACATAGATATTATATTTCTAACCTTAAGTACCACCAAAAAGTCTGCAAAAGATGAAATGTCAATAAGATATAGAAAATGTTTTTATTCGGGCTTTAAGTACGGCTCATAAAAATTTCAAAAACGCGGTTCATTACTTAGTACCAAATATTGGCAGTAGCGTTGTATCTGGAATTAGAATTAATTCTGGCATGGTATATATGAAATATAAATTTCATAATTGATTATACGTTGTAACCCTAACCTGTAAATGTGTAATGTTTTATAAACTTTGTAAGCATTTTTCCCCGTTTCGTTGTTTTCCTTAATGTTTCATTCTTTTTAAAAGGAACATTCTTAACACGGATTTTCCTTCCTTTTTCTTTTCGTATAATCGATGATCCCTTCTTACGGACCAAACAAGCAAAGCGGCCTCGTTGAACGATTTTTGAAGTCCTCTGACCGTTTATGATCACTAGCCCTCAACCACTGGGTCGCGGTCTCGAGGCATTCGTAGGTCAGTCGCCAAGTACTGATCACCTGTCAGTTTATTTATTTTTTCCGGGTACATCGGTTTTACGCCACCACAAAAACCTGGCACGTACTTAAATTCCTCTAGCTTTTAGAAAGTCGTTAGCAGAAACAAACTTACCAATATGATGCAGCTAATGCTTATTATTCTTTACGATTTGCATCGACTTACTAATACCTCAAATAGTTGTGCATTCTTACTACATACGACATGTATATACTTAAGTGATTACTCCTGTACAGTAATATGGGGCCAAAATGAACAATTTGATAATGTAAAATAAATATTAACGCGAAAAATAGTTGCCCCCTTGCTACAAAGTTCTTTGTCCTTCTGAAGAGTTACATTTGTTTCCACTAAACAAAACACTTTATAACAGAGATATTCACTTAAAAGTGTCGTAGCTTTGGTATTCACCCTTCAGACATGAATTATTTGCATTCATCTTGTTTACAATTACAAGACTTGTGCAGCATTCGTTTGTGATTTTATCTAGTTTATTTGTAGAATTGTCTAGCTTCTGTATTTTCCTTGAAAGTTTTATGGCGTGTGTAATCAATCATCTTTATAGTATTATTGGTTTTGTATTCACATTAAGAGTTGTTATTCATTTTTAATTTTTCTACATTTTTGAACTTACAGATTTTTTCTTCGTTTATTCACGTTTAAAAGCTATCATAGTTTATGTATTCATCTATAGGTTGTATGTTCACCTTTAAAACTCTAAAGATGATATATTCATGCATAATTACATGTATATTACATATAAATACCCTTCTTTTGAAAACAAATCTTATGTGAGATAGTCTACCTGTTCCCACAAGAACATATGTGTTGTATTTTTTTTAAAGACTGTACATGCAATTCATTATACCGGCCGGTTAATTTCTAACATATATAGCATAGTTGTAATTACAGATAAATCTTTTAATATTGCCTTTTGATGAAAGACTTCGAACTGACCAAAACGCAATAACAAGAGCAGTTTGCGCCTTCTCTTGAGAAACATACATTTTGTAAAAGGAACCGTCAGGGATTTTTTTATTTTGACATAAGCTGTAATTCAGCACAATGCGAATATTTTCCTCTATATATAGATTTTCAAGAAATTGTCAATATTGTACTGTTTATACAACAGTGCTATGTTATCACTGTACACTATACATTGATACAGTATTTCATGAGCATATAGCAAATAGAGATATACTTTAATATTAATAGCGCTATGTATGCAGGTTAATAGTATGTCTATACATTGTCTGTAACTATAAAGTATGATATTAGTACTTTGTGTAAGCGTACTGTAGGCATATACAAAGTTTAAAGTCGATATTACACTTTGGTAGGGAGTCGGTATAACGGGTATACTATTTCGTGCACAAAGTATACTGTCAATACCGTACGGTAAACATAAATCAAGTATATGGCAGTATTAAACTTATGTCAATATTCAATATATTTGCTATAATATATCAACGCATAGATATTGCATAATGTCATTACAGTCTGAATATAGACAAACATAATCATGTTAAATAACTGGACCATGTAAACAGGATAGTTTTAATGTATTATCAATACAACACTTTAGTTACATATATATCGATGTAGGATACTGTCATTACTGTATTGTTTAGATATATAGCACATACCAATAATTTCAGTGTATAAAATGATAGAGTAAGATATACACTTCGAATCTGCACGACGCTACACGATAACATTTCTTTTTCAAATAAAGAGTCAATAATATAATCCTGTTCAGGACTTGTGTATCACAGGTTACTTATTCCGTCTTTGCATATTGCAGAGTTATCTTCTCTTGTAAGCAGGTATTGATTGTTCCGTCATTGGTTTGTGTGAGAAAATGACGTCGTTTTCTCAAAAATTGATGACGTTACTCTCACAAACCAATGACGTAACAATCAATACCTGCTCACAAGAGCAGATAACTCTGCAATACGAAAAGACGGAATGTTGTATGTCATTACACGTTATTCTGAACATATTAAATTCATCATAAAATCTACATTTTTGTTAAAGATATGTATACGGCATAGTTACGTGTTTATTCTTTATATGTTATTATACATTAATGTGTTCATAAATCATGCGTACGAATGAATTTAAACATACGCTAGGAGACACGTTTTTAAATATCGTGACCACTGTTATGAACTTATCTTAAAGCTTAAAGTCAGGTGCTTTAAATATTTCACATGGACATATATCGATTGCACAGAGTAAACTGTTTCGATTTTATCATTAAAACATGTGATTAGAGGTTACCTTCTAATACTTAGATCAATACCTCGAACAAAAGTTTCTCATAATTTTACAACACAATAACATTTAATGTAATAATTCAATATGGCCGATCCCCAGTCGGCGAAATTTTATGCCGACATAGAATATATATTATAATATCTTCTTACCGTAAACATTGCTCGGAATGAATATCAGCCAGACACAGAGCAACGCTGCGGTATCTCTGATGGTCATCCTGGTATCTTGAGATGAAAACACTACATTTTCTTCATTTTGCAGCAGAATAAATAGTTTGTGTATCTTTCATATGAATCACCCCCTTGCACCAGGACAGGCAAGCCAAGAGACACATTAACACGTATTAGCTGGCATGAAATGTATATCACCTGATCAGCTTATTCAATCATTGGGAGTCACATTGTTTAAATGACCATTCGGTGATTTCGTACAATGACTGGTTCAGTATTTGGGATAGTCTAGATAGTTATATAGCATGACACCGCGACGAGTGTTACTGATACCTTTAAAAGACTTGTCGACTTAATGTAGTGATCCAGTTAGTATAGTTATTATGCGTATACAAATACTCTTGCTAGTGCCATATCTTATATGAATTTATGTATAATGTTAAATGATGATATTATATTAATTAACAAACATGACCGTAGAACTAGATATTCGATACTTTAAGTACTATCAAACAATGTATATCGATAAAAAATAAACGTGTTATCATGTATCTATCGCTTATAAATATTACCGTTTATAAGGATACAGCACATGTACTCTTAATTATATTTTATATATATGTTTGTTTGAATTTACTTGTTTGGAATAAATTTTCCAGTATATATATTAAAACAGCTGGTTGTATATACTAGTATACTTGTACCAATGTGTGTTCATAAATAAAGCTTACAAAGCTCAAAGAAATGTGATCCCAATCTTGGATAGACACACATACGCATAAGGTAGAACTCCTATTGTAAACCGTTGTCCGACAATTGGATTAAAATAACATAACAGTAGTTTGCTACCTGTTTTATTAAGGAGTATCGGTGACCATTCGGTGTAGTTATCTGATAGCAAGTTATATAAACAAAGTACACGAATTCACAAAATATTGGAAATATTGATAAAATTTCATGAGTTATACCATAAGGCACTGATGGATGTCTGACATATGTGAACAAACTATTTCATACAGATATGCAAATTTGTGGTAAAATTTGATATCAAAATGATATTAAAATTATCTTCAAAATAGTTGTTATTGTTACTCTTTTACTGTTGAGGGTAGACATTACGATCATAACAAAATAGTTATTGTTATTCTTTTTACTGTTGGGGGTACCCATTACGATCATAACAAAATAGTTATTATTGTTATTCTTTTTACTGTTGGGGGTAGACATTACGATCATAACAAAATAGTTATTATCGTTATTCTTTTTACTGTTTGGCGTAGACATTACGATCATAACAAAATAGTTATTATTGTTATTCTTTTTACTGTTGGGGATAGACATTACGATTATAATTGTTGGAAAAAAAGAGATTGTTTTATATAGTTATCTCCTGCGTTTCTTATTGCATACATTGTTATAGTATAACAATGGTTGACTACGTCAGCCAGTAGCGTGAACACCACCAACATTTATACCACTACATTAATGTATAATATCTATATAGGACACGGTTGATTACACCAGGAGCAAGCGGTTTAATACAGCATTCATGTTGCTAAATATAGCTGTAATTTGAACATTGATTTAAATTTGCAATTAAAGTAGTCTGCTCTGATATTCCGGTTATCTTTTCCCCTGTCAATTTACTGTCACCTTTTATTGATCAATGACAAAACTAACATTGTTTTCAATAACTGTTTTATATGAAGTAGTACATAAATAGAACAAAACATACTAAGTGTCGTAAAGTGAAATATTTGCTAACATTCAAATGTGAAAATAGTAATATTTATAACAAAAACAATAAAATAACTAGAGTATCATGTACCTTAATAGCTCATCCGGAATTTGATATTGATGCAATATAAAGCATGTTGATGTCCTTGCATGTTTATCAAACACGAGAGATATAAGCTGAAACAAGGGGTATATCCGTTGGGTCTTGCACATCCTTTGTTTATTTACAACATTCGAATTCACTTTGTCAGGGATGATCTGCGCCATATTTCCAACCTTTGGCCCTACTGAATGTCTGTAGGGGTAGGGGATTGACATCTTCCGTTTCCACATTACTACTATGCCGATAATCCTTTAGACTAAATGTGGTCAAAACCATTAAAGTGTTCTGGAATAATACCGTTTTAAACGAAGGGTTGATGAGCTTAAGATATACAGACGGATGGATGACGGACGACACACAACGGCATAAGCTCATCTGTCCTTCGAACCGGGTGAGCTTGTAAAACTAGGATTTTACAAAGGAGTAAAAATATAATATTTACGATAAGAGATATCATGACTTCTTTGCCAAACTTGACATATAAAACGATGACAATAACCACTCTTGCTCTGAATCACATAATCGCTAAAAAAATCAGTATCTCGAACCAAGGTTTAAAACAAAATGTTATAATTAATTTTAAACAAATAATATAGTATCGTTAAATGTTTCGATGTCACATATACCAGTTAATATGCAGTATCATCAGAGAATCATACCCAGCCAGGATATCAGCTATCAGAGTATCATACCCAGCAAGTATATCAGTCATTTGGGTATCATATCCAGCACAGATATCAGTTATCTGAGTATCATACCAAGCAAGGATATCAGTTATCTAAGTATTACACCCAGCATGGATATCAGTCATCTGAGTATCATACCCAGCACAAATATCTGTTATCAGAGTATCATACCCAGCACAAATATCAGTTATCTGAGTATCATACCAAGCACAAGTATCATTTATCTGAGTATCATACCAGCCCAGATATAAGTCATATGAGTATCATACCCGGGAAGGATATCAGTCATCTCAGTAGCATACACAGCCCGATATAAGTCATCTGAGTATCATACCCAGCACAAATATCCGGTATCTGAGTATCATACACAGTCCAGATATCAGTCATCTAAGTATCATACCCAGCAAGGATATCAGTCATCTAAGTATCATACCCAGCAAGGATATCAGTCATCTCAGTATCATACCCAGCAAGGATATCAGTCATCTAAGTATCATACCCAGTAAGGATACCAGACATCTTAGTATCATACACAGTCCAGATACCAGTCATCTCAGTATCATACACAGCAAGGATATCAGTCATCTGAGTATCATACACAGTCCAGATACCAGTCATCTCAGTATCATACCAAGTAAGGATACCAGACATCTCAGTATCATACACAGTCCAGATACCAGTCATCTCAGTATCATACCCAGCAAGGATACCAGACATCTTAGTATCATACACAGCCCAGATATCAGTCATCTCAGTATCATTCACAGTCCAGATACCAATCATCTCAGTATCATACACAGTCCAGATATCAGTCATCTCAGTATCATACCCAGCAAGGATATAAGTCATCTGAGTATCATACCCAACAAGGATATCAGTCATCTGAGTATCTAATTATTATACCTAGCATAGTTTCGTATCATAAAAAGCTCAGACTACAGTATTAAATGCTACATTTAACAAGAGCACACTCCTTGCTATTGAACTAATTTCAATATTGACAAAATAAATACATCACATTACTAATATATTAACTTGAATATACATATTTGATCCAAATTACTTTCTTTTTCATTTTTGTTCTCATATGATTAAATTTGAATTAAAGTTAGTATCTGTTAAATTAATTATATTGATTGATTTATGTTCGGTGACATAAAGAGATTTATAGAAAAGAGAATGTCCAATTACTATTTTACTGTTCAGGCCCTCTAAAGTCTCTGTAGTTTCTGTGATACGTGGACACCATGTGGATACTCAGACAAGGATCAAATATGTATATCTGTGTTTTCCCTTTTAGGAAGATTGTTTTGTGAAATTATCCTTAGCACTTTTGCAGAAAAGTATTATCATAACAAGGACATGATCAGTAACAAAATATATATAATAAAATAAACCTGAAGACAAATGAACACCGTTGAAACAGTTTTCCAATATACCTAAAGGAGTTAAAATCAATTTCACAAACATGATATAGTTAAATACTGTTTCCTCGTGAATATTTTTCACAAATCATCAAAAGATTAAATTCCAGTTATTCATATCCATGTATTTCTTTGAATCCAGCATTCGTTTACACATGCACAGGTCTCAATCACACTAGATTCTATAGATAAGATACGCGTCTTTCACATTTGTAACACTTTCCAATTCTTAATCACTTTAATATATAACTGCACTGATATAGATATTTCAGACGCATCGATAAAATATTGAAAATCACTGTAAATTCCGGAAAGTGAATAAATTCTAAGTAACACGGGTTTTCCCCCCTTTTTATCACATCATCACTCATGTGAAACAACTTCTGTCATCTTCCATGGTTGCCTAGTATGATTGTTTTAGTCGTTGATGGCGCATCTTTCATTATAGTATTGTATCTCCGTATCACAAAATCGGTGTTATCAGTGTAGCGTTGCTGACACGTCATACATAAAGTACTTAATATCCGTATCACAGGATTAGTGTTATCAGTGTGGCGTTGTTGACACATCGTTCACAATATTATTCAATTTACGTATCACATAATTAGTGCCACCGGTGTAGTGTTGTTCATGCGTCATCCATAAATAAACTCACTCATGTGACACATCTTCTGTCATCTTCCATGATTGCCTAGTATGGTTGTTTTAGCTGTTGATGGTGCACCATTCACTAAAGTATTGAATCTCCGTATCACATAATTGGTGTATCGGTGTAGCGTTGCTGACACGTCATACATAAAGTACTTAATATCCGTATCACAGAATTAGTGTATCACTGTAGCGATGCCGACACATAATTCCTAACAGTAATTAATCTCCGTATCACATAATTAGTGTTATCGTTGTAGCGGTGTTGATATCATGTATACAAGTACTCAATCTCCGTATCACATGATTAGTGTTATCGTTGTAGCGGTGTTGATGTCATGTATATAAGTACTCAATCTCCGTATCACAGAATTAGTGTTATCGTTGTAGCGGTATTGATATCATGAATGCAAGTACTCAATCTCCGTATCACAGAATTAGTGTTATCGTTGTAGCGTTGTTGATATCATATATACAAGTACTCAATTTCCGTATCACAGAATTAGTGTTATCGTTGTAGCGGTGTTGATATCATATATACAAGAACTCAATCTCCGTATCACATAATTAGTGTTATCGTTGTAGCGGTGTTGATATCACGTATACAAGTACTCAATCTCCGTATCACAGAATTAGTGTTTTCGGTGTAGCGTTGTTGGCATCATTCATAATAGTAGTCAATCTCCGTATCACAGAATAAAGTGTTGCACAGCACCATACATGCAAATATGAATGTCACAGACACTGGAACCATACTACAGGCAATAGCTGTCAGAAACCACGCTGAAATACAAATGTGTTTTATTTAGTAAACTTAAGATACAATTAAATTGATTAATTTTAATAAGTAAAAGCAGTCATTGTTTTAGTCGTTTCTTAGAAATATATTTCGCACTCTTTTATTTCACAGATACTATTAATTTATGGAACTATGAAACAACAATTATTCATAACGCAGCGTAGTCTTTCATTTTGTGGTACATCTGGCAAATCTTACTGCACTGTCTAGAGGATACATGTCACCAGGGCTTTAGCGTGGAATTGCTTCTATAGCATACTGTTTTGTTTTATATATATTGTTTTTTTTCTGCAAAGCATTACTCATCATTATCCCATGTTGTTGTTCAATTAAAACTCAAAATGAACTAATGGCCGAGAAAAACGTTTAGGTCGAAATAACGACGTCACAACACCAACGCGTCATTGGCATTAATATGTGCGTATCTCTTTATTGTTGTAATTCGTCGATTTGATAATTCGAGAACAGCTGATGTGATCCAGCAAAGCAAATCTGGCTACAAGGGAAATACAACATCTTGTATTATCAAAGCGTGAAATACACGACCTTGTACTGCATGGTATGATTACACTTATCATAATAGCAGGATTCACTAGGTATGTTATCCATTACTTTCACGTGACACAACGCGTACAACTGGCATTTGTCATGTCTTCCTATATTACATAGAAGACGTTTCAGGAGAGAGAACAACATATTTTTATTATAACATTACATGAAATCCGTTAAATATAACTTAACAAATCTTGCTAAAGATGACTTACTTGGCGGAACATAGCTTTCTGTTGTCGTCACATCTAAGATAAATATCTCCAAAAATTGAGTTGAGAGACCGTGGTCGTCAGAACAGCAAAAAAGGACCTTGTAGTAATCAGTTATATCCTTGTAATTGAATACTGGATTGGTGGTCGTGTACAGTTTGTAAACTGTTGAAACATATATACATTTGTTACTAGAAAATAGTTTTATATATATAAGTAACATTTTATTGATAAATAGCATGCGACATAATTAAAATATTAGGCATTTAATAACATTAATATATTTTTTCATTATATTATAGGTAAGCTGATGCCATGATATAATTATTACAAAATATTTTATGAGTCAAGTATGGATACATTTACCGCGAAAATACATATAGTCCTATATTATCATTACTGTGTAATTTACAATTTGAAATTTCGACGACCTTTGTGCAATTAACGTTAGGTTAACACCGTCTCTCGTCATCGACATAGTATCGTTCCCTGCATTAAATTTATATTGGCATCCGTTTTTGGTTTAACATATTATTTAGATCGAAAGCATCAAACAGAGCCTTTGTTTTGTTATATTTACACAACTAAACTCCATTTCGCTTTAATACACGTCTAACGGAGGACAAGGCACAAAACTCGCGAAATGTTCGCATAATTCTGATGCTATTTAAGCCAGTAACTAATTAAGAATTTACTTATCAATTATGACTATAAAATCTTAACTGAATCAACGTCCTAATCTTTATGGATTTACAAAGTTGAGGAAGTATACCTTGATCTTCAAATTTCAGCTGAAAATTTAGACTGCCGGGAATAACTTCTGTCAGCGTGCAGCACACAGAATCGTTTTCTGATTGGTCCACCACGTCTATTTCGAAGACCATCATCTCATTTGTTACTGATTCGCTAACCTCAACACTATCAGGTAGGTTGATAAACACTGGCGGCTGTAAGGAAATGTAAGCATACCATTAAATCTACATGAATTAACCCATATACTCTGTAGCGGAGTTTGTATATGTAACGACGAAGACAATTTTTATTCTCCCACTTTTGCGTTTGACCGATACACGAATCGCATGTGGACCACCCAAGTGTGATACTTGTATCCCACATGATGCACTCATTACCTATGCTATTACGACGTCACAGTCTAACGGCGGCGTTTTTACTAAGAGGTCAAAACTGAAACGCGTCAAACATCGTTCGGCTGACTGGCAATCATGATGTCTGTAGGTGACACAATCACAACCACAAGAAGATTAGAACAGTTGAACAAGGTTGCCCTGAAAGTCTCGCACAAATCTTGAAACTTTAGATATATTGTAATTGTTCTACCCTTTCAAAATATGGCCTTATTTTTTGCGTCCGTTATCTAGAAATTATGCTATATTAAGTATTGCATTTTGATTGTGTATGTCCTGTTTTACAAAACAATTGGTTAAGAGTAGGTAGAACAAGTCTCGGTTCCCATCCAAATTCTGCACTTCCGTGTAGAATATCAGTATCCAAAATACCTACTTATTATAAACACGATTAAGCCTTATCCTCTGGCCAGGATCGAACTAGCGATGTATGGCCTCATCTAATTGACACAAATACGACATGTGCATTATTGCGCATATTTTCAACGTTTCTTGTGTTTAATAATATCATATGCAAAATGGAGACACTGATTACAAAAAAAAACTAAAAAAAACCACAAGGAAACAAGTATTACAAGGCATCGAGACATATTCACAACCTGCTTCTTACAACAACAATACTGTTTAACTCTCACATTTTAGCAGTTTTTCCCTACACGGAAATATAATGCACATACAGTGCACAAACATGATTAATACGACGCCTAACGATAATTACATAGTGGTTAATTAAAAGTATTCTGAAAGGAGAAGTGTTTTGAAATTCTATGCTTATTATCTTTAAAACTTATGTATAAGCATAAAGATGTTACTCGTCGATTTTGTGCAATATAACATTTAAAAATGACATTATCTTATTACAATTACAATGCCTACTCCCGGAAAGTTGTTGCGACATAAAGCTTTATAGTATCGCTTTATTCGGGCAATCAAGTCAGGATTACAGTAGCTATTATCTAATTATAGTGTGAACTGGATAGATAATGTATACAAACCGCATTGTATGTCATGATGGTGAGCGTAGTGGTAGCAGTATTAATGCAATCGTCCCAGCTTTTTAGAACAAGTTCAAATACAGAGTAGGTACTAGGTAGGATGCCTCTAGTCATTACATGTATGTTACCTATAACAAAAGCACCCTGATTTATACGGCTGGAGATATCGTAAATATATCAATGGTATTTCTACATAGGCCAACCCTGGCAATGAACTGTGCAGAACTTGAAGCATAAAAACATCAAGAACTCTTGCAACCACAAATACAAAAGAGATACTTACGCTTAGATATCAATTAATATAAATATATGCTTAATAACGAAGAGCTGCAAGTCATATAATGATGCACAATGAACATTACCTGTACTTACATGGACCTAATGCGCGCTGAAACATGGCGGCTGAAACGAACCGTGCGCGAATCTTCTTTGCGCATTCACTTTTTGCACTGTCACAAACACACACACATACACATTGGGAAGCACCCTTCCACTGACTAAATGTTAAAGCGAATGTGACTGTGTGAATTGAATAATTTGTCTCAACCAATCAGATAGCAGGATTTTCACTAGAGGTATATAATTTAGTTTGTTTTTGCAAAAAGCCAAACAAATTTAACATTTTAATAAATCATACGGACATTTCGTCAATTTATGACTGACTTATTAATATAATTGAATGTCAAAGGATCGAGATTTCCTGCCTTAAATTTTCGAAAACGATGTTGAAATAAAGGAAACGAGAAAAGGTAAATATATAAACACTCTTTATAATGTTACAAATGAGCAACTTCTGCTTCAAAAGTATTGTATTTCTTCGATGACATGAACTAAAGCAAAAACAAAAACGTACCGGGAAATGTAGTGTTCAATTCGAATAATCCGGTGTCATCTATAAACTCGTGCTGGAGGAGGTCGAAGTCCCCTATGTCGTCATCTGTGATGTGATAGTTAATGCAGCTCCCTCCTATAGGTGTATTGTCTGGTACCAGGGCGTCGTATTCAGTCTGGTTCACGTACGGCACGGTGTCTGAAAAGAAAGCATGGTTTAAAATTAAGTCATCTTGATGATATTACATAGTACGTAAACAATATCAGCCTATAGAATGACGATCTAGTTAATAACAGAAAAACATGTCTTTACAAAATTTAAAAGGATTTCGAAGTTTTCCTTTCTCGTATAAAGTGCTGATACAAATATACAAGTTGGAATTGGAACATTAATCATAATAAAAATAACAAGCAATTGAATTGAATTAATTGGGTCAAAAGAGTTAATGCATTACATCATTATTAAAATACACTTTCACTCACTGGGAGCAGTAAAGAAACGTATTGCATAAGCAACATCCGATAGCTTGGATCCTAACGTAGTCCATTTGTACTTATCCCCGACTTCAATACTTGCAGGCAGAGGCGCCACCCATGTCTGGTTTGGGCAGCCCTCACAGCAACACTCAGCGTATTTGATCATGTTTTCTTCTGGAGTATACCTGAAGTGAATTAATAACCTGGTATAAAATTCCTCAAAGTACCTGATAATGCCCAATGTAAAATTTACTTTCTTAAAGCTTTTTTTAGAAAGTTAATCGTAATTAATGTTTATTTTTCTTTTCAATACAAATTATTGACAAAGGTTTCCAAAAAATAATGACAAGTTATGTTCATGGATTTTGTTCCTGTAGCCTAAAATGTAAATAACGTGTAATCCTTATACATCCATATACAGTTTACAATATCATCTTTTCTACTTCTCATAATTTTTTTTCTAATATTTCCCTTGCTATATCACCCACATTTTGCTCGACTGAACAGTTTCTTACAAAATAAACAAATAATTGTAAAGTCTTTTTTTGTTCCATAAGAAGTCTAATAAAATGATTTCTAACATAATATATCAATTTTTCGGGATTTTATCATGGTCTAAACAATATCGATAAAATGACGTTCAACTCACCAGCCAAAGAAATCTCCCAATCTTACAGACAGACGTTTCTTGAGAATCAAGGAATGGTTAATTGCAGTGCCAATTTCCGTTTCTGAAAATATTGGTGTTTTTTTTTATCGAAACTACAATTCGATTGATTGTTTAAATAGCATTGCTTTTCATTACAACTAAATAGTTTACTAGACTAGAATTAAAGTACAATAATGACAGTGTAATTAATTACAAATTAATATATTGATACTCTATGGCAATGCCACTCTATAACGTTACCAAGTTAAGATGACCAGTTAGGAATGCCATGGTTCACGTGTTGACCTCATCATTATAATGACGTCTAAATTGTGATGTTGGATATCACTTCCTTTCTGATAGTGGCTGTTTCATTCATTAATCAAGCATACACGATATAAACACTTATTTGAACTTAATACTAAATTAACAAAAAACATTTAATGAGATTAAAGTATTTTTGAAATGGTAAAAAATATCCATAACATTTATTTTAGCTGGCCTTCATATTCAGTATGGTTCAAACCCTAAGCATTGCAGTATTTGAATAAATCAACACAGTATCATTTTAGTGCTTTTAAACATTAAATCAGATGCACCAAAACAATGCATATATTCTGATATGTCATTGTTACATGTTAGTGTCACCGTGTAGTACAACTCATATATGTGATAACACGCATGCTATTCTTAACTTAAATTTCCATAATGCCATTTAAATTGATTGCGCAATTTCCCATTCAATCCACGAGTTCGAAACGTAAAACATGTTGGCAAGCTTGCGAAGATATCGTGACTTTAAATTCGAAGAAAATACATCGTAATCTTTATAACACGCAATGCCTAAGGTGTCATTTATCACAAACATATCTCAATGCCAGGATTTCTTACCGTTTACAGTGTAGTTGGTTGTATGGAGAAGTTCGTATTTTAAGCTATTGAATTTTCGCCAAACATGGAAATATATCTCTCCTGCTACTCTGGGAACGAACTCAAATGCTTGGATGACTTCGCAGCAAGGAAAATCCCAATTAACGTCTAGTAATAAATATCCATACCCTGTAAATGTAAATTGCTTTCAATGTCACATATTTATCATCCTTTGTTTGATCAAAAAACTATTTCTACATCACCAGAGGCACAGACTGAAGTGCAATATAGACGTGGACTTGATCCCGATTTAAAGGGCGGTTTCAAAAGCTACAGTTGATAAATCTTCCTAAATGTCCATAATGCTCAATAAAATTGGCCAAAAGCGACTTTGCACAATGGAAAAACAATAATCTTTTTTGCTTTTTGACTTTTGATAGTTAGTCCGATTAAAAATATGATTCAAGAAAACATGAAATTTAAGAAAAGATTACATTCTTTTGTTTTGTGCTTATTTTTCTTTTTTTCGTGATTGTATAATTACATTTTACAGACGACACGTCAAATACACCAAGCCCTTGTCTGTTTTGGTTTTCTGTCTGTCTGGGGAATACTCTACCATGTTCTGCTGAGTCACCGTATAATCCGTGAAAAGTTTTATGTATACTTACGACCAAAAAATATCTTTTATTTCATGGATTCTTTACTTTTATATAAATATGTTGAAACCTTCTTGGTATTTTGCAGCTTAAACTCACCAGATCGAGTGTCGTTGAATACTGTAATATTTGTAGGCTCGTCGTAGCCGGCGTAGTGATCACCACAGACTGAAAAATGTGAGAACACATATTACATTTTTTTTTTACATTTTATCGTATTCCAATTGTATTATACGAAACGTCTTGATTTCCAATAAATATTGATCAAAGAAATATATCTCACTGTATGAGGCAGTGTGATATACTGGTGGTATATAACAATAAGATCCAGCTTTTGATTTGATATCAGTGCGTCATATTTACCCGGACAAGCTTGCGGTTTGCAGGATTTACTGTCGTTATAGACATCTGGACAGTAATTCCCAGGCCAGACTTGTGTTGGATTGTCGCAAACACGTTCCCTGTACCGGGTTCCACCACCACAGGTTACGGAACAGAACGACCACGGTTGCCAGGCGTTCCAGACCCCATCTCCTGCACAATAGATAATGAATTGCACATATAATTCTAATTATATTTTACATTGACACTTAAACGGGCACATGGTAGTAAAATGATTTTATTAGCAAACTGCTCAATTTAAACGTGTTCTATTTTTTCCCTTTTTTATACAAAGGATTTTAGCATGACACTATCTATTACATCCTTAAATCACATGTCAATAGTTGACGTGAAATCTGAAATCTTTAATCTTTAGTAGTAGCACAATACACTGTGAGCGCAGTTGCAAACATGAAATGCTTACATTACCAAATCGATTTTCCTGCTTCCATGAACTGGACAGTTATATGTTCGCAAAGGAGTGGTTTAAACACTATATATGTTAATGTTTGCTTTGTGAATATAGCATTTTTGCCAAATTTACCGGAAATAATAGTGATACTATATGGTCAAAAACATGCTTCTAAACTAATACGTTGAATCAGCGAATATAACATATATATTTTGCTGTAAATACCGTATCAGCCTAAGACCCCAGTATCATCCCGGGAGCTGATACACATCCATTTTCGATACGTTGCATACTACCGGTGAGCATATCGTATTATGTATGTTTATATGTAAAGTATAAATGTATTCCGAGCGATGTGATGAAGGAGGTTTGTTAAAAGGTCTACATATAAGATAAAAAGGTTGAAATAAATGGTATTTGGAGCATCAATTGATATAAAATGTGGCATGTATTTAGAACGAAATATGTAATATATAATCATATTTACTTACTTGCACAGTATAATTTGGAGAATCCGTAATTGGTTATCTGGCTATAGGTCTTGTTGCAGGGGTCGTCATAGTTCACCTCGTCATAATAGAACCTACAGCTTCCGTTAGTAACATTGTGGCATTGATCAAACAGAATGTCTAACGCATTAGGATCGCTACACTCATTTGGCCCACCGCTATCAAAACCGTAAAAGTTCGACCATATGTACATGTAATAGCTGGATGGGCAAACCATGTGGTACCAGCCATTCTCCTGTATGTTACCCGTGTTGTATTCTGGAATTGAAAGTGGCCTATTATTTCTAACATTTTTATTCACAAGGCGAATGTAACCGAGTCATATTTATCTTCTTCTTATATGCATAAACGTGTGTACTTGAGGAATACAAGTTGAAACAACTGAAAATTTAAGAAAACAGTTGCATTCATAAAGTTATAAAAACGTATCCGAATTTTAAAGGGAAATAGCAATGGTCGAGCTTCACGTCTTAATTTAGTGAACATATCAATTTTATCTTATCTCCAGCATTAGTTGAGGCATCACTAGAAAACAGTGATATGAGTGTGTACGGTATTATCATTCTCAGCCAACAGAAAAACCCACATGTATCTATGCTGATACGTACTAAAGCCCGTATATAAATTACCTGAACAAATGGAAAAATCAGGTATGCAGTACTGAAACTCTATATCGACACCGGGACAGTACAGACCATCCCCAACAGGTGATGGGTTGGTACAGTTCCGGTAACGGTTCTGACCTCCTTCTGCATAGCACGTGGTACTGCACGTGTCCCAGTCTGACCAGGCTGTCCAGTTACCATCCACTGAAAGTAAGATTACCGTTGTGTACTGTTTTAGAATATATAACGATTTTGGAAACAAATAACGAAGACAGCGACGTCCTTAGTTCATTTAACAGCAATTTGAATTCTGATTTAATATCTTGTACCATATTATACACACAAGTGATTTTATATAATTTACCGCAAGCAAATGCATTTGAATAATCTTTCAGTCTACGTTGCTCATTAGTAAACGTATTTATGCTGTTATTTTGCGGTTCACTCGCATTTATCTAAACAATACGATCGAGACTTTTGGAAAAGCGTTAGACGTTTTAAGTGCATGATTAATGTTGAGAAAGGACATGTGATGCATTGGTAATTACAAATCTATTTTAGACATGTTAGAACTATATTGAAAGGCACTGTAAATGTTCAAATGTTTTGTTTTTAATACCATCGTAATTTGTTTTTACTTGAAGATATGATATGTGACCTTCGGTGTGATAAAACGGAGCATCATAATATATCCAAAATATTTCAATAGTTGTTTAATTAAACCACTTACAGTGTTGACAGAGCCAGCCATAGTAGTAGCCATCACAGATACAGTCGTACCTCCCTCCCTGGTCATCACAGGTGGCGCCGTACAGACAGTTGACAGTACTACATATGTTATCCATAGCTGCAACACAGTAACGGAAATTAATCAGGAGGAAGCAAAATTGAAAAATTATAAAAATGTGTTAAGAAAATCACTTAAATATGTTGGGATTTCTTCCAAACGTAAATGAAAATTAAACTGGTAAACCTATCCCCGCAATAAGTATATCAATATCAGACCAATACATCTTATCTTTTTGTTAAAAATAATTATATTATCTAATTATAATAAATTTGTTTGAACTATTAAGTATGTTACTAAATGGCATTATAGTCCAATCATCCTTACGATTCCAATTGCTTGATGGAGCATAAAATATTTAAAAGATAAAAATCAAAGATGAATTTAAAACTTTTAGATAAAATGGAACATGTGTAAATCATGTGTACTGATTTTCATATATATGATAAATAAGCAGAAATCAGAAATGGAACAGAACCCCTATAATACAACCTAAATTAAAAATAAGCATGAATGCATGTTTTCGAATAAAGTGATATGATATGCAAAGTTAACCAAAACGTTGGATTTAAACTCCGGGAAGAGTTGTGGTGTGCAAAGATTGGTTAATAAATTGAAAAGAGACAAACCCCTACCTCAAACAAAATACGCCCAATTTTCCCTTGAATGATAGGTAAACTTAAACAGAAGAGTTCAATGATACGTAGTAAGCACAACTGTTGGGTGTATATGGGCAAATGCCATACTGTTTGAGATCGTGGCGGGCAATATATCATGGCTAACGGTTGGTCGTTTGTACTTACCAACGGAAATAACAAAATTGTCTGCAATGGCCATTGCTGTAAAATAAAATAATGTCAAATTGTCATTCAATGGGCAACAATTTGGTCACGATCAACAATAGCTCGGTTTAAAAAAACAAAATACTTCTATTAAATATATCAGTTTTAAAAAAAGATTATACTTCCATTTAATAATGGGTATGTACTTTGTGACAAGTTCATTTTAAGTAAAAACCCTAATGTGACCATTCTTGCAATTAGGATCGGGAATGTTATCCTTAGCTAAACACAAAGAGTTATTCTTACATGAGATGTTCAGTCCTTCATGCTACAAAACTATTGCAATTTTACAAAAGATAATACTTCTACACTCAAGGGTCAATATGCTACAAAAATCAAAAAAACATCTTCTATAAACAATACAACATTGTAAAACATATGGATAGGAAACGAATAATTTGCAGGCATTGTCTTTGCTTGATCAAGTTTAGTAGCTTATCAAGACCAAACCCATCGAAATGGACTTTTTAAAGGTGTCAAAATATGTAAATGAAAAATTGGCAGAAACATATACCTGTGTTTTCCTCAACACTTCCTGCGTCACTGTACATGACAAAGGGAGGTGTGGCCAATGATTCCCACCCACAGGACCCTGCTCCTTCCACTAATCCGAACCAACCGCTATCAGCACCACAGTCGAGTCCATACGACGCCTCCAGAAAAAATCTCCTGTTCGTGGTCCTAAAACACGAGAATCAATACTGTATATTACGTTTTTTTCGTTAGAACATTTTTGTGCAGCTTTACATTTTTGTACATAATCCAACAATTCAAATTATTGTTTCATTCAACGTGTTTGCTTTGTTATGTAATAATTATTGTTCCTGTAATAAATTGTAATAAATTGAATTGCGGTCGATTTTTAACGTTAACTCTTCGGTTAAACAACTACCACCACGCAAAACTATACTCTTTCTCAATCCTAGAACTATCAAATATATGATGTTTATCGAAGTTGTCTTTTTTAGGACAACTTCATGACATGGATCGAGAGAGACAAAAATCCTTAGAATAAAAACATATTAACTATTTTCAGACTTAAACTTAACTTAAATAATTTAAACAATGGTTTCTGTTATTCTATAACATACATATTCACTGTATTTTTAGTCGAGAAGTGAAATGTGACGAGCATGCAATCTCAATCACCTTATCTGAAACCACTTGTCATCACCTTGCAAATCTTATCTCAGTGTCAATATCCATTATTCGTCAGCAATGGAATACAGTAGAAAATGTTACTCGAACTATATAGTGCATATAAAGCTTTTCTTATTCAGTCGCACTTAAGAAGTGTATAGAGTTAACTACAATATTTATTTGTTTGGTGATTTCCACACCACTAATTACTTTATCACAATACAGTAGTCACGGTGTTTCAACTACTCTAGCACAATACTTTATTCAGTGGGTGGTTCCAACAAACACTTTCTTGATTACAATGCACCAGTAAGTGGGCGTTTCCTATCATCGCTTACCCAATAATACTACAGTAATCTACGGGTGTTTCGCGTGTCAAATCGTCGTACGAGGAGTAGAGTATCCGGTCACAATCAAACCAACTAGTTTTGTTGGTTCCGTGGGCATCAAATACGATATAAGCTGCCTCAGCGCCATCTTTGAAAAATGATACACGTACCTGTAAACATATACAAATATGGCAAAGCAGTCAGTATTAAGTTATTGAAGTCAGAACTATCTCTTTTTGATTTTCATTTCCAATCACAGGTACTATTGCATGAGTTAGAGCAACTTATCTATTCAGCCATTCAAGTTTACGATCCTTAACTAATTTTTCTTTGAATAAAGACTGATGCAATTAATCTTTATGCATTTACTGTTTTTTTTATTCTAAACTGTAAAAAAAACCCACCATCAATAATGTTTAACTGACAATTGTTATGTTTTCGTATTTCTCATTAGCATAAAACATTCTTACATAAATAAAAGCTTTATTAATTTATCTGATTAATCAAATTGCCCGGAAATACATTTTCATTTGACTTACAGCTTGTATATAGTAAGATGCCCAGCTGTCAATGATATTTGACTTAAAAGTCATTGCATTGTTATCCAATGAAAAAGCCGTGTCGTTGTACTCGTTGACTATATATGTCCCAGTAAATAAGTCGTAGATACTACTAGCGGAGTATATGGAACCACCGAGAGCTACATGAAAGGCCGGGAACCATCCTGTAACACCAACATTATAGTATAACCTTTAAATCGAACAAACCTCGTATTACAACTGTTTGATTGAGGATGATATCATTTGCTTAATGCAAGCTCGGAATAAGGCTACTTTTGAAAGTAATAATTAGCACGAATAACAGCACGTACATTCAGGTGGACGATCGTACGAAGGTAAACAATACATTTGGTGCGGACATATAAACTATTCAATGCTAAATTATCATCATATTTTTTCTTGTTTATATGTTAAACATGTCCGAACAACGTAACCGATCTTACCTTTCACAAAAACACCCATAACGTCAGCTGCTGGCATTGCTGCCGAATCCCAGGAACTAACTGGAATAATTGTATACAAATATTTAAAGCAAAATACGATTTCACAATTCAAGATCATTTGCATTTGATAAGGACATTAATCGTCCTTTAGGTAGGTGGGGCAATACGTGTAATACTTTAAGGACATACTTGAGATATCATAAAATAACACAATTCAAAATGACTCGTAGAAGGCAATACAAAAGCTTCCGGTTAAGGACGTCTGAATGTAATTAAATTACCACTTTGTGGGTATCCATAAGTGCTACTGCTACTGTAGAGGAAGAACGGAGCTGTTTCCACAGCAGAAGCTCGGTCAAATACACAAGTTTCGGACGAATTTTCGGACACCAGCATCCACCCTTGTACACTGGTACAGCTGGCTCCGCCCTGTTTCAGGATCGCAAAATTACGTTGGAATCCATCCCTTAAAAAACAATATTCATGATTTGTTTCTGTTATTATTTTTTTCACTTAGATGACAAAATACATTTGTTATCGTGTCAAATGCTGGACTGCAGGACGATCTTTACAATAATCAAGTCATGGATGGGTGAAACATTGACGGAGCAAAGAGAAAATGCATTGCTGCTTTAATTTAAAACAAATAAAAACATATTTTTGACCATGCATCTAAATCAAGTTCTTGTATATCTTACAGTAGAGCTTGTTGTTTACAACACCTAATATAATCACTATGTCATTACTTATTTTCATCATCAGTTACGTACCCTGCTATGCTACAATCAGTCTTGGCCTGACTGACCATATCGTCATAGCTAGAAAGGATGATTCTTCCATTAGAAAACCAGTCAGTGCTAGTCGAATTTCGGCCGTCAAACATAACAAACGCTACTTCTGCCCCACTTGAGAAAAACGCGTACTTCACCTAGAATACAAAGTATTTAAATTCTCTCAAAAAATAGATAATTGTTTAAGCAGGTTACTCTAAAGGTATTGCTTTCATTTTTCCCAAAATCATCTCTACATTTTTGTGGAGGCGAAATTCCGTGACAAAAACAATCGTGCACTTTTACGCATTTTCAAAGAACCCATAACTACAAAAATTGGTTGACGAACCACATTACTCTTACAATATTGGACATTATAGTTTAGTTGGTTTGCAAAGATCGCTGTAAGTTTATATCAAATGTTTAGCAATATTGTAATTATCAAATTGCATTTAACAATCTAGCGATTGCGAAGTAGTATGTTTCAGCAAAACAAAATCGTATTTACAGTAATTAATTCAAAGTCTACTATATAAGCCACACATGAAGAAAACTACATAATAAATGAGATAATAGCACATACCATTTCGATAAATGTGAACGATTCTGACCATATTCCAATTAACGAAGATTTGAATGTGAGACCAGGAGCTGTTGAAGTTGTTTGTGTTGATGTGTCAAGATAGTTTTCGGTTTCTTCTGAGAGCCAGAGCGACTCGAGACTTTCAGTAGAGGCTGTCACGCCCTGGACCCCTTTAAATGCCATGAACCAGTCTATTGGACGAAACAAAACACACCTAAATATAATCATATAGCATAAATAACGATGAAAAATACAATAATATAGCATAAATAACGATTTTTTTTTTTAATATAAAAGTTGCTTAAATATAGTGACTGATCAATATTATGTACAGCTATGTTAATATAACTGATTTTAGTAATGAAAAGACTTACCCATTACAAATATCGCCAAGACGTCTGCATCTCCAACCAGAGAATCTATTCCAATATATAACATTTGTATTTATTTTGTTTAAATATAAGTTAATATTTGATAAACTAAACTCATAAAAAATCTGCATAAATCTGTTTCATTTGCAATTAATGTAAAAAAAATAGGTTCTGCTTAATAGTTAAAAAATCTTAAAACATGATTAAACAAGGGAGGTGAATTTATGGTTCAAATTTGTTCATGTGTTGGCCCTGCATGCCGTTACTGGCTTACCAAAATATGAAACAAACAAAAAACAAATGATCATCCTTGATTACACAAGTTACCTGATGCCCATGTGACATACTCCGTGCCTGTAGCGTATTTGATGTACGGCATTGTGCCTGAGGTAGTATCCCACTCGGAACAACCATCAGAAGCTCCGACGTCTTTGTACATCAACCATCCGCTCTCAGTTGTACAACTGTCGAATCCTTGGCGGCTTATGTAGAACGTCCTCTTCTTTGTGTTGTCTTCCCTAAATGTTATTAGGCAAGATAGAGTTAAATCCGCGACAAATTAAAATATCTAGTAATCCATGGTTAAATTATGTTACCATACATATGCGTGTTAATGTACTTACCTAATTTGACATGATATATTCTGGGTGGTGAGATCATGCCAGCTGGAATACAGGATCTTATCACATTCCATCCAGTTTGATTTTGTCTTCCCAAAGGCATCAAATACCACATAGTGTACTTCTTTACCATCCTTCCAAACTGACAAACGTACCTACATCATACAACAATGTATACTCAGTATCGCTTGGATTTATTTGCAAGATATAGCGTGCCTTACCTACATGACTAAAACAATATATCAATGTTTAAATATCAGATGTATATAGGGATGTATTTTATATTAATTCTTTATATTTAACATTTATTTACATTTTTGATAAACAGCAGAGAAATAACTCAATGAACAGGACCACTCGTATCAGGATATTCAAAAACAATACAATACTGATGAATCAAGAATGAATGGAATGACCACATTGTTAAGCATTTATATTTGAATCAATGTACAGACAACACATGATGTACGTACCGCTTGGACAGTAGCGCTACTGCCCCAGTTGTCCAGTAAGTTTGACTTAAAAACGGCAGAAGTCTTACTGAAGTCCGTTTTATCTGTAACAACAGCGTCTGATTCTGTATCACTCGCTGTAGCGTCATAGTAGGCTTTCATATCAGAATACCCGGACTTGACTTGGTTGTGAGCCGCTTTAAACACAAGTCTCCAGGCTGCAACATATCAGATTATGACAGCTTTATCATAATACACTGGCGACATCACAGGTATCAAAGTGTTTGTATACAGATAAGTATACTAGTTATAAAAAAAAAAGATTTCAATAGCTGGTCAATTTATATAGCTAAGTACCATTTTTTTTATTATTTTACAAAAATGTAGAACAAAACATGCATTTAAATATAATTTCAAAAGTTCATTTCCATGTGAAGTTCACTTTAAATATTAAGGCAACACTGCACGTATACAGGCGTTCAGAGGTGTATAAATAAAGTTAAGGGTCACGCATGAGGACAGATTAAAGAATCAGTAAATCAATCGGACGTTGATTTGGGATTTAGGATATTAATTATGAATATATATCTAAATTGATATGCATAAAACAATAAATATATGGTTATAAACTTGAGTGAATTCATTTCGAATAAATTAGAGCAAGTTGCAAATAACTTGACGTAAACAGCATATTTACCTCCCTGATAAGTATCCAGTATCTGCCGTTCTGAAATGCATAAATGAAATTCATTATTATTTTCAACTTTGTAATATTGTTTGCAGGTTTGTCTTTGGAACCCTGGGACAAAATCGTGTCGAAAACAAAAAAATAAAATATAAAAAAAACAGGACGAAACGTTACAAACGACAGATGTCTTGTTACACTTTTTTGGTGACATCAGGAATACATAATGGTGTTTATGTGAATAAAAATCGTACTGTTTAGCGCTTTAAATTCGCGGGATCAATATTTCGCGGTTTTATTTTCAGTGTACATACGCGGGGGTCAAATTTCGCTGTACACCCGAATGCCATGTGTCATGCAAAGTAGGTTTTACTGTCATCATTTAAGTGACTTCTCTCGAAAGAAAATCAAATGTGTATGTACCATTGCAGGAGTAAACTGTAATCAATTAATCACCTACTGTGTACACATACATATGTTGTGGCCACTTATATGTAAGTGTTGTTTTTACATGCACTACCGAGTTGTCCGATGATAATCTAATTTGAGTTCATTTAAGCGTCCATAACAGCGTTGGGTTATAACTATTTTCAATACGTTGTGATAAGGTCCGTAAAAGTGGTTAACATTTTCGATAATTTCGCTGGTGTTTAGAATTCACGGATATTAATGAAAGGGCGAATATAGCGAAATTAAATTCCCTGCGAAATATAACCTTTAAACAGTATATTGCGTATTTGTCTTTAATCATCAGGATATAACCTCCATTTAAACCTAAAATGTTTATTGGGGAACATTTGTGTCTGTTTTATGTTAGTGTATGAAAAATTGCAACACTTCAACAACAAATATGAATATATTAACAAAGTGAGTGTTTACCCCTCAAAAATGACATTTAAAATTTCGAGATAGTCGCACGACAAGTTACGATAATTTCTTTACCTTATGACAATGGTATAGTGTTTTAAGAAATGTACATTATGTGTACTCACTGATACAGTTCAGTTTGGCATTCCCGTATTTAGTGACGCCCGGATTCGCTGAGCAGGGATCACCACCAAAGTAAGAGTCGGTGAAGAAGAACTGGCAACTGTCCGTTTGTCCATGACAATATCCTCTAAGTCTGTTTATAGCATCGGCAGTGTAACATATAGAACCGTTGCCGTAAAATGCGTCATCGACATATATGTAATACCCAACAGGACAAATCATGGTGTAATTCTTGCTCTCCACAAGGTCTCCTGTGTTGTATTCTGAAATATGTAATTGATTAGCCGTAAAGACCATTGCTCTATCTCATTTTTTTTATTCTTTCTTGATACAATTCTCACTTAACATTACTTGGAATAGTTTAAACGTACACTCAAGAAAGAGACATTACATTTTAATATATCATTCAATAATCTGTAGGAACACGAGAAATATAAATATAGACACAAGAAGAAAAACAAAGATAACTGCTATTAAACGAAAAAAGATTACTTTAACAATATTAAGTATTTAAAGTAAAGATAAACAAAATAAACCAATAGAACGAAACATAATGAAGAATATACCGGGATTTCAATCAATTTAGTCACAAAAAAGAGAAATTAGTTTTACATGTTCTGCAAAAATGATAGGCCAAGTCGGCCAAATTACACCTACCGGGACAGACGTCGTGATCTGGTACACATGTCTGAACCTCGAGGTCAGGATAACCGCAGTCCAGACCGTGTCCAACTGGTGCTGGTTCAGTACAGTTACGGTATCTGTACTGGGTCCCTATTGCGTAACATGACGTGCTACAAGCACTCCAGTCGGCCCAGGTTGTCCAATTTCCGTTCACTGTAAATATAGTACTTGTTATGCATGTGAAATTAAATACAATAAAACTTAAATAAAAATACTGTAGTTTGAACGACTGAGAAGTACGTTGGTTTTCAGCAACATTTTACTATTTGAAGATGTACACATAACGTAAATACAAAAAATGCACACAGTATTAACCCATCATGAGTAACTTCCAAAACCTGTCGGGAAATTAATATTCATCTGAGAAGCAATAACATATTCCTCTATATGTGCAATTCGGGGTAACATAACACGTTCAATTGTTATTGACTTTAACGTTGAGACTTAAACACTAGAACACTTTTCTTTTGAAAATACGAGAATACGTTATCTACGCAAAGACATAGATATGCCCTGGCACATTGTATAATCAATTCGAGTATGATTCAAACGTTATATGATTGCATCAGATAATCGTCTATTTCACCTAATCGTTTTTAAGCATGATGATAATACAATAAAATGCTGAAAAGCAGTGGAATCAAATATCAACAAGTCAATAAAAGTACAAAATGTTTCAATATCATATCTATACTCACAATTCTGACATAGCCAGCCGTAAAAATATCCATCACAAAAACAGCGGTATCGAGATCCCCAATCGTAACAAGAGCCTCCATTCTCACAATTCACGATGTCACAAATAGAGTCCTTAGCTTTAGATAAAACAAAACATTGATATTAAGTATATGAAACATATAAATACAGAAATATGATCTGTTATAATAACAAAGTTTCTGGTATGAAGCGCCGTTCTGCCGTACCCGTGACGTATTTGGAATGTTTATATCAATCGCCGTTCTGCCGTACCCGTGACGTATTAGGAACGTACACATCGATCGCTGTTCTGACGTACTGGTGACGTATTAGGAACGTTCACATCGATCGCTGTTCTACCGTACCGCAGACGTTTTATGAACGTACACATCGATCGCTGTTCTGCCGTACCTGTGACGTATTAGGAACGTTCACATCGATCGCTGTTTTGCCGTACCGGTGACGTATTAGGAACGTACACATCGATCGCTGTTCTGACGTACTGGTGACGTATTAGGAACGTTCACATCGATCGCTGTTCTACCGTACCGGTGACGTTTTAGGAACGTACATATCGATCGCTGTTCTGTCGTACCTGTGACGTATTAGGAACGTTCACATCGATCGCTGTTTTGCCGTTCCGGTGACGTATTAGGAACGTACACATCGATCGCTGTTCTGCCGTACCTGTGACGTATTGGAAACGTTCACATCGATCGCTGTTCTGGCGTACCGGCGACGTTTAAGGAACGTTCACATCGATCGCCGTTCTGCCGTACTGGTGACGTATTAGGAACGTTCACATCGATCGCCGTTCTGCCGTACTGGTAACGTATTAGGCACGTTCACATCGATCGCCGTTCTGCCGTACCGGTGACAATTAGGAATGTACACATCGATCGCTGTTCTGCCGTACCTTTGACGTATCAGAAACGAACACCTCGATCGTTGAGCCGTACCGGTGACGTATTAGGTACGTTTACATCAATCGCCGTTCTGCCGTACCGGTGACGTATTAGGAACGTTTACGTCGATCGTTGCTCTGCCGTACCTTTGACGTATCAGAAACGTACAACTCGATCGTCGAGCCTCACCAGTGACGTATTAGGAACGTTTACATCGATCGCCGTTCTTCCGTACCGGTGACGTATCTGAAACGTACACTTCGATCGCCGAGCCTCACCGGTGACGTATTAGGAACGTTTACATCGATCGCCGTTCTTCCGTACCGGTGACGTATTAGGAACGTTCACATCGATCGCCGTTCTGCCGTACTGGGGACGTAT